CGTGCACCTATGGATGAGGACAGTGGGTGGGGAGTGAGGGCGGAGGGTGGGGCGGGAACTGGGAGGAGGGGAGTTATGGGGGGGGGGAAAAAAGAGGAACAAATGTAACCTGAACAATAAAGATTTAATTAAAAAAAAAAATTATTTTCGTTGCTACTTCATAACTGTAATTTTGCCACTGTTATGAATCGTAATGTAAATATCTGATATGTAGGATGTATTTTCATTGTTACAAATTGAACATAATTAAAGCATAGTGATTAATCACAAAAACAATATGTAATTATATATGTGTCTTCCGATGGGCTTAGGCGACCCTTGTGAAAGGGTCGTTCGACCCCCAAAGGGGTCGCGACCCACAGGTTGAGAACCGCTGCTCTAAAGGGAGGTAGTGCCCATACATTGTTTTAACACATTATTAACATCGAGCTGTTCAGTGCACCAAGAAAAACACTTGGATGCTGGGACAAGATGACTAGAAAATGAAGACATATTTACATAGAAAATGAAATGTCGCACACTTGGTAGTGCTCTGAGGATGGCTAAAGGAGTTCAACAGGGGGACTAGGCGGCCCATGGTCTGAAAGAGCATCATGGGAGCGGCTTAGAGACTCACCTGCTGCACTGTGGAGTTCCCACCATTTAGGATAGCAATTCCAAGTTTCAAAGTAGCAGCCACCATCGGTCCAGTTTCACCTTAAAAATATAAAAACAGTGCTCCTTACATCATTTCACCTGCTGCATCAATGTATTCTACCCCAAAATGTGCACTTTTAAAATTATTACCACCCTATAGCTCTCTATCATGGCGACGAGGGCCGGACTGACTTATGTACCAAAAAATATTTTAAAGTGATACTGCATATTTTGCCATCAATGTTTTCACAAAATTCTGTGTAATACAGACAAAACTGAAATCGTTTGAGGACAAAAAAAGAATATGAAAAAATAATTGATTTTGAAATACACAGACAACAGGGTGACGAATGCCTGGGGCAGGGTGGGAACCAGGTGGTGGGAGGCAAGGGGGATAAAGGGGGGAAATCTATAATACACTCAACAATAAAATTTTTTTTAAAAAAATAAAGGACTCTCTTTAAAGGTCTCCATTTATATCAAGGGTCTGCAAACTATGACCTGAGGGCCAACCAGCTCGTCACATTTTTGTAAATAAAGTTTTATTGAAACAGTTACGCCATTCGCTTACATAGTGTCACTGGGTGCTCTCCTGGCCTTTCACAGGAGACGTTCCCCCACCCGAGTCACATGAGCAGCTCCTTAGAGTTGTGTCACAGCAGAATTTCCAAAACTTCTTGAGCAGAAATAAAACATCTTTAAATTTGCTTCTGAAACAGAGTCACGACTGGACTGTATAAATGAGGGCTCAACCCTGACCGGTTTGGCTCAGTCGACAGAGCGTCGGCCTGTGGACTGAAGGGTCCCAGGTTTGATTCCGGTCAAGGGCATGTACCTTGGTTGCGGGCACATCCCCAGTAGGGAGTGTGCAGGAGGCAGCTGATCGATGTTTCTCTCTCATCGATGTTTCTAACTCTCTATCCCTCTCCCTTCCTCTCTGTAAAAAATCAATAAAATATATATTTAAAAAAAATGAGGGCTCAGCTCGCATTTCTTCTCACTGATCTGGTCGTGACCCAGAGAAGCAGGCCTAAGTGAGTGGGTGAGTGGACCTGAGGGAGCTGGGGCAGGAAGAGGAGATGCAGAAAGAGATGCGGGAGGAGGAGATGCGGGAGGAGGAGATGCGGGAGGAGGAGATGCAGGAGGAGGAGATGCAGGCAGCAGGCCGAGGGCTCACCTTTGCTGGCGCTGATGGTCTGCAGCACCATCTCGGCGGCGCCGCGCTCATGCAGCCGGGCTTGCTGGTACAGAAGCTTCTGCTTCTCCATTTCCTTTTCCTGAACACAAACCCCAACCGGTTATGTTGTGGCGACCAGTCGGCAGGCAGCTTTCTAGTCACCACATTTTAGTCATCTCCATGTACGGGCTCTATGACAACATTATGGACCATTTCAACACCGACATTGTTATTAGACACAGGTTCACATAGTCAACTCTTGGTTTTATTTCAACTGGTTCATCAGGATAGAGTTGCTCAATTTTAATGATTTGATTAGTCCAAAGCCTGGCCCACCGTTTTGAAGTAGCTGTACTTCATCATTGAACTTGCACTTTCTGAATTATACATTTGTGCATAAGTTTTCCCGTTTTGAATAATCTCCGTGTCATGGCCATAACTTGATACTGCTCAGCAAAAGGCTCGAGTGCAAGATATCACTGAATGACAGAGAAACGCTGAATGAGACGAGTTGGAGTTTAAGCAAAATTGAAAGCTGATATGGATAAAGAGTAGGCTTTGCCTACGTAGGGACTTATGAGACCTCTCCCCAGTGCCCCCCCCCTCCCCCAAGGAATAAAGCCATGTGCCTTTATATTTTGTATTCTCTGGCGGCAACAAACAATGCTGCATGGTGTTGCTGGGGCAATGGCTGGAGTTTGCTCGGTTCCACTCAAACTACCACTGAGAACATAAAGAAGAAAATCAGGAGAAAATATAAAGGCACAGCGAAGTCAAGACTGAAGGATCATTCACTGGAGCGGCCCAGTCGCTGGAGAACTGAGACGGCTAAGCAGTACAAGTTGCAGAGTGGACGTGGCATAGAGCCCTGTGACAGCGAGCCCACTGATGGCGCGGGAGGGAAGCTTAGTCAACGGGACATGACACGCTCGACCAGCATCATGTCCATAAACACAGCGGCCAAAACAGAGGTGACCTCAGAGCAGGAGCTGCAGCAGAGGGTCCGCTTTGCTGCCATAAACTTTCCATCCAAAGTACGGAATAGACACTGGGAGATGGAAGAGGTTTAAAAAATGAAGGCTTGCTGGTTACAGAATATGAAAAATAAAGGAAACTAAAAGGAGGGGGGGAAGAAATGGGCTCAAACAAATGATAAAAGAAACCTTTAAACCAAAAGCAACCAACACAGACATCAAGCTGTTACCAGAGAGTGCTCGCCGATGCTGGCAAAATTGGCTCTTAAATCTTTGATAATATCGTGCTGCGAAAACAAAATCGATCAGGGTGGGTGTTTTTTTTTTCACACTATCGTTAGAGCTCCTGCGGTTAAATGTTTAGTTTTTCCTTAAATTATGTGATAGGCCTAAATGGAAGCGGAGAAAAGAAAAAACAGGCAGCTTTGCTTTGTGGTAGCCATGCTGACACCTAAAAGGTTTGCCTTCATGTTTAAACCTCTTCCTCTGAAGTCAAAAACAGAACAGAAACAAAGCCACACAGACACACAAACCATATCGTCATACAACACAGCTTTAGGAACACTGAGAGAAGACCCCGTCTGCTCTCCGGGTGGTGTTGGAACGAGGAAGCAACATCTGATTCTTCCTTTTAGACCCAACAATCTTTCCCGCCCTCCCGTGGCCAGAGCGATTCCTGGGACTTTGCTCCCCAGGGTTACTGACTCCTCTTGTGGGTGTTTCGATAAGACAGTGGTAAGAAATTAGTGGCAAAGGGACGGCCCCAGCATTTTCATCAACGACAGAGGCAAGGGCGTTAGAAAGATCAATTCTTTAAGGACCCATAGGACATAGTATAAAGATGGTCATCAGGACACCCAAAGAAAATGACAGCACACCATATATTCTTGAGGGGAAAAACAACAACCTGTCCCCAAAGTACGTAGCGCAGCTCAAAGTTCTGCCAGAACAATTTGTACGGTACACGCTAAGGTCCCAGAATCCTTTGCAGTAACTAAAGTCACGTGGATGGATGAGTGTCAGGAGGATCAAGAAATAGACAGGATGTCAAGTTGTCTACTTTAAAAAATACCTCCCTGGGCAAAGGTGACTCTCACTTTTCTTCCATAGCATCTAAATTTCTATAATAGTAACGACTTCAGGAGTGAGGGGGACACTCATCTGAAGTCACATGTTGAACCAAAAGAGAGAAAGAGATCTGGAGGCTGGGCGGGCCGAACCTCACATGGAGGGTCAGGGCGCCTGAGTTCCCGCCGGTGGGTGGGTTGGGCTCTCTTCTCACGAGACTTTCATTCAATACCTTTCAGGTCTTTGACAAGGCTTCTCAGGTGTCATTTAATCTCGTCATCAGAATTCTATCCCAACATAAAAAAATAAAACCTTCACCGCTAGGCCAGAAGTTTTCAGACAATAAAATGATGGATGAGGTAAGGGAAAAATTACTTTCTTTTCAAATTTACTGCAGACCTGTTTGTTTTTTTAAAAAAATATGTTTTTATTGATTTTTAGATAGAGAGGGAGAGAGACAGAAACATCGATCGCCTGCCTTCTGCATGCCCACACTGGGGATAGAGCCCACAACCTGGGCATGTGCTCTGACCACGAAATGAACAGGGACCTCTTGGTTCAAGGGACGAAGCTCAACCACTGAGCAACACCAGCCTGGGACAGGCCTGCTCTTTTAAGCAAATTGGAGACAGACCATTTTAAAACTATCTCCCCTCAGGGACATCGCACTTTGAAGTACCTTCTTAAAGGCAACTTTCCCTGCCCGACCCCAGATTCCCTTTGAAAACTGCCCCAGGGTCTTAAATTAACATTATTCCTTCAGCCCGCTGCTGTTTAGTCTTTAAATTATTCCAAGATTACAAAGAAAGGGCAAGGGGCGGGGGTGGAGAAGAAGAGCAGCCCCACAAGTTGCATGTTCCCTTAGGCAAACAGTTCCACTGCCGAGTAGCAAGGAGGTGGGACGGACCAGATGAGGTGCTCGCCCTCCCTCCCAGGCGCACTGTCCCAGGTGCACACTGTCTGTCTCCCTGAGCAGCTGTGGCAACCCAGGTGCCCGGCCTGGTGTCTCTCTCTCTTTCCCTGTGGGGGTCTCTTCCTCTCACACTTCCTGGGATTGCAACATCCCTACCCCAATAAAGTGCTAGCACATAATCTCTTTGCTCTGTTTCCTAGGGAATCTGGGCTACAACATGAGGGCTTTCCTTGGGATTAACAATTTCATTATAGAAAAGTGCAGCTGGCAGATGGCAGCCCTAGGCATGAGCGTTCAAGAGACAATGGCATCAAATCCCTCCCCTCCCCCACTGAGCTTCTGCAGTGGGAACTAAACGTTATACATCCTCTTGAGAAAAGAAATAATTTGTTCAGTATTTTATATATATAGCTATCTCTTCAACTTTTTATATTCAGGGTTATCTTGTTGTAAGATTCAGGAAGCCTTCTAATTCAGATTGCCATGTCCCGATGAAAGCAAGGAAATAAACCCATTCAAAGATCCAATTTATGTAGCTATTAGAAAGGGTACATCTTATAGCCAGTTCATTCTTAGAGAATTTACCAAAAAATGGATTCTATTCAAAATTAGGTCATTGGAGGCCAGATAAAAATGCTGTCATCGCTGGGCAGAGCTACAGCACATGGGTCTTGCACACTAAACAGTGCACAGGCTGGAATGGGAGCAGGAGCTTCGGCGGGAATGATGCCCGTCCAGCTGTGCCTGAGCCTGTAGTGAGCCCGCCGGGAGAGCGCGCGCTGGTCTCTTCATCACTGAACGTCAACTCTGCCACGGACACATTTACTATTCAAGACACAGGAAATCTCTCTAATCAACACTACGAGTAACGGGACCTCAGGGCCTCATCAGAAAACGCTCGCGAATGAGAAGTCGAGCATCTGCCAAAGGATGTGCAAGCTGCCTAATATTTGAGAAAAATGTTCCTGAAAGCAAGTAAACACTCCATCCCTCCAGCTTTGGCAAGGAAGGCTCCACTGTCATTAATGTAGGCGCTTCGGTAAGTACTAAATCTATCTTGTGGCACCTTAACATGCCACTAAAATGCTTCTACTGCATTATCGTTTTTTTCATTTCACTCCCTCATATCTTAGAGAATGAAGTAGAAGGAACCATCCGAATAATGTTCTATATATTTTACATGGTAAGTACTAAATCTATCTTATGGTACCTTAACATGCTACTAAAATGCTTTCACTGCATTATCATTTTTTTCATTTCACTCCCTCAGATCTTAGAGAATGAAGTAGAAGAAGGAACCATCCGAATAATGTTCTATATATTTTACAAAATTGTAGTTTAAAAATGTGGTCCACTCTGGTACCAAAGCTCTCGGATGATTTTGGTGAGCAAATCCCAACATGCTGAGAAATATGAAGTCACTTGACTTGAAACATTATTATTTAACATTATTAATTGCTTTGGTTTATAAAAAAAATTGCAACCTAAATATAGCATTCAACTGCAGTAATGAACATTTCTCGTAACTGCCAAACATTTCTTCCCTTTTCATTAATTCTGACCTCTTTGTAAGATTTAACTGTCATTTTTAGTTTTAATATTGAAGTAGACTCAAATCTAAAAATGGTTACATATAATAATGAACTAAATATGCAATCAATTGTTAAATATGTAGGGAAAGTATTCTAGAAGAAGCAGGGCAGTCAACTGTCAAGTTCAATGGGGCCAGTTAAGTGGGATCCTAGGAGGAACATGGACATGAGACTGAAGAAAAGAGCCCGCAAATCCTTGCATGCTGATCCCCATCCTGTTTTCCATGTTTCTTGAGCGTTACTTTATTCCTCGTGGAACTTTTCCTTATAATGCCCCATTTTTTGTATCTCAGATTATTTTTGTATTTCTAGATCAAAATGTTTCCTCGTAGCAAATTTTACAAGCACTTAGCTATTCAAAATAGGAAGAGGTAGAAATAATTATCAAGTTCTTATCCTAGAATGAAATGCTGAAATTAACGTTAAAACTGTGGGCTGTCGTCTCTCATTACTAATGGAAGGTATCACTAGCAGAATGGAAAAGAGACTTATTTCCCATGTCACCAGGAATGCCACTTGTCACGTCTGTTTTCACGTGACGAGACTGGTGTAAAAGCATCCAGAGGCGTGGGCCAGATTCGCCCTGTGAAGTCCACCACCGGCAGGGCGGGGCTCCTCCGTCCCAGCACGTGGGCAGCTCGAAGTTACCATGTAACACACAATTTCAAATCACGAGCGACTGAAATTGCAAGAAGGATAAACCTGTGTCAAGGAAGGGACACTGAAGAGACCAATTGCATTGGAGCTACAAAACATGTTAAAAGGATTGCAAGACCTTCTGTTGTTACAGAAGAATCTGAGACGTTGGGTCTAACAAAAAGGTAAATGTCACAGAAACCGAAACTCAGACCCAGACACATACACACACATGTACAGTTACCTTGCTGCGCTGGGATCCCGTGACCTTAGGAAGGGTGAGGACAGAAGCAAAATAGCAATAAACAACTGCTCTGAAGACAGCTGTAGACCACACGCGGTTACACTTTCAGAACACGTCATTTGCTGCTCACAACCCACTCAGTCTCTTATCAATAAAGATGGATATGAGGACAGAATACACACACGTAAGAAAGGATTACAGTGCCATAAAGAAATTAACCTCGGCATTTCCCGCAGCCAGCAATAGTCCTAGGTCATTCACAAACCGGTTTGTTTCTGTACTGCTTACACATGGACTTCCACGCAGCACAGGTGCTCATGTCAACTGTTCCTGAAAGAGGCACTGTGTCCGGTCCTCACCTACACCTCCTGGTGGGTCCACTGAACTAAAGACTCACTGCTGGGTCCTAATGTCCTCCAGACTCCTAGCCCAGAGTCCAGATGTGGAAATCAACAGGAAAATTAAAAAGATCTAATCTACTTCCTTCCACTTAATATTGCTTTGAAAATTCTAAAGACAAGCAAGCAAGCAAACAAAAACAATAAATAAGGAGACTGGTAGTTAACAACACCTACTTTTTCTCATCAAAAGCAAAGTATAGTCTAAGCAGAGGGGGGAAATACTAGTAAGATTGCCTTTCCTTCTGGCTGGTTAACATTGAGCGGTATCTCGAATGATGGGGATATTTAAGAGCTGAGAGGTTTGAGAAAATAACCATAAGCTAGAAGGTGGTCCTAGGGACCCGCCCTCCTGCCTCATGCAAGCCAGCGGTGCTGTGAGCCCCATATGTGCAAGGATGAGTGAATGACTGTGCAGAAGGCACAGGAGGCCAGACCTCTCACTTCAATTCCAAAAAATGTCAAACCAGGGCTTCAGTTAAATACTCGAAGTCATGCTGCCCTGCAGTAAATATTCTCCTCACGTGTCTGTCAGGCATTTTAGGTCACGGCCTTTGCTGAGATGAAGCCACCTCATCTCGGGGCCTCAGCAGCACTCATTCTGAACATATGGGTGCGTCTGACCGGTTAGCTCTTCTACGGTCCCTGGAGTTAGGGCAGCGCATGGTAGGACTCAGACTGTCCACCCAGCTTCCGACATGCAGCTCCTTGACACAATAAGCTGCGATAAGCCATGAAGCAAGAAACAGAAATGTCAGTTATGAGCCATGAAACAATGCTTCCAAGTGGACAAAGGCAAGTCTAGAAAGATCCATCTTACTTCAAAACTCTTCACCTCTTCTTCACTGTCATCGTCATCTTCATCATGACAACTCTGCAGAACAGAAAAACGGAAAAAGGTCAACAGGATTAGAGTATGTCGAGGCACAAAATACAAAAGAATTTAGCACAGAATACAAAATCACTTGCATTAATTTATTATCAACAGTGTTTAAATATATGTAATGTAGGTACCATAACCTTAGATGACATCATCAATGAGTTCATGCCCTAAAAGAAAATTTCACTGTGCTTTTACGAAATTAAAATATCCATGAACAATTTCATACATTTCATGGAGATGATTATGCGGCAAATATCATACTACACATACTACTCATTCACGTGTTTGCCTTGTTCAACCCAGAGCACAAGCTTTGGGACAAGCATCACGTTTCTCTTGGTGACGCCGCCATCACCATGAACTGGTGCAGATACTGCGCAGGAACCTGCAATAGCCATGCATTCAAACTAAGCGAGAGCTGTGCCCATTAAGTAAAGTACATCTTGTCATCACTTGCTTTCTAAGTTCATTTTTTATTGTATTGTGTCCAAAGGAGAAAAGTGAAAACGTAACTGCTAATACTTTTATTAAAAAATGATAAAACATTGTATTTTTTTAGTTATTCTCCCAGAAATGAGACAGGAGCTGTGCTAATCCATGCGCCATTTTACTGGGTGGTTGGCAACAGGCTTCAGGACGCAGACGCCTGGCTCCAATCCTGCTGTCCCCAACGTTTGCTGCTTAGTCCAGGGCTAGTTCCTTCACCTCTCTGGTCTAGTGTCCTCATATTTAAGGTGGGATTCAGAAAAGAATACCCAAGTCTACAGCAGATCACATGAATTAATATATGTAAATTGTTTGCCACTTAAGAGCAAGTGTCTGAAAAATAATAAGCTTTTAATAAATCTGAACGGCTATTATCATTGTGGTTTGGAATTGGAAGAATCATGTGACCAAGACCTATGGCAGGAAGAAATCTTCCAAGTGGATTATTCCAACCCTTCTAAGGATTTCTTATGGCTGATAAGCACTCGGTGTATCAGTGAAGCACATGGAGGCACGTGGTTAAATTTAAGTTACAAATCAGAAAAATACTTTAAATTCAATGATTCACAGTCCGCTGAGTCTAGAACTGAAGCCAGAGAGGACGGAAGATACAAATGTCGTCCTTCCGTCTCTCAATGGCAGCTTCTAAAAGGTTTGTCACATTCATTCATTCATTCATTCAACCAGGTGCAAAAGCAAACAGATATGAATTTTATAGCTTAAAAGCATGTCATTGTAACTCATGACTGTGCTACATAACCTGCTCCTCCCACACTAAACTCCCAGGCTTCTTGTCATCGTTTTCGATGTTTAAATGGTGTCTTCCCCATCAGACAGTAAACTCCAAGAAGGCAGGGTATGTGCCTTTCTTTCTCACTCACCATGTCATCTCCAATACCTTGATGCCCAGTGAATAGGTTTTGAATGAATGGATGCTTGGAAAGCTAGGGAGCTCCCCATAAATCAATATGAAAGGAGGAAACCATAACACTGGTCAAGGAAGTCAGAACAGAGATTCATGGAACAAGTGGAAAGTTGAGCTGAATGCACCGTAGGCTTCTAAGGTTTAACAGCATTTTATTTTAAGCCAGAAAGACATTCTTATTCCTTGTCGGTTAAAAATTATTTCCCTTTATTAAAATTACACTTTAAAATCAAGAGTGGCGTTTATTTACCTTTGCCATGATATCTGCATAAGCCATGTATAAAAAATCCTCTTCCAGTTTGCTATGGAAAACAAGAAAAAAGAACACCATTGTTTTTAAGGCTAGTCATATGCAAAATTACCGTCACTTACAAAATAACCCGTATTTTTCAACAAGTATACTTGTTTAAAATGAAATAAAAACTTGGGCAAAGTAATCATTCGAAAATATCACAGCGTCAGAGAGAAGGACCTCAGACCTACTGAACACAGTCCCCCCAACCTCCTGGAAGAGACCCCGGTCTCACAAAATAAACGGTCTGTCGATTTGTACACAAACACATCTTTCATTTTCTTGAATCTACAAAAGTTGAAACAAGCAAATTTAAAGGAGGCAGAGGCTTCTGATAGCAGAAGTGAGATTTGATGTTTGACGAAGACTCCAAATTGGCCTGGCCCATGTGGCCCTGCAGTTAAAGCGTCGGCCTGCGCACTGAAGGGTCGTGGGTTCAATTCCTGGTCCAGGACATGTACCTGGATTGTAGGTTCGATTCCCGGCCTAAGTCGAGGCTCATGCGGGAGGCCACCAATCCAATTGATACGTCTCTCTCACATCAGTTTCTCTCTCTCTTCCTCCCTCCCTTCCACTCTCTCTAAAAATAAATGGGAAAATGTCCTCAAGGATTAAAAAAAGAATTCCCAAATTATTATGCTATAAAATCATAATGCTACTTCAAAATTAAGAAGAGTTTAAATATGTTTATTATCCTCTTTGTAAGAAATATGGAAACCATTAACTGATGAAGGAACCCATAAAAAACACTCATGTTTACAAAGTTATTTTAGCAGCTTTAAACTTCAGCCATCAGAAAACCTCACTTATGAGAAATACCTCAGTGCCTGCCAATGCCAGAGAGCTGCTCTAGGCATAGGGATGAGATGACCTTGCTAGTCAGGAGGGGAAGGCTGAGAGGAGGCCGGTCCCAGTGGTAAGAGGGAGAGATGTGTGTTATTCCGGCCGCAGGACCGCTCAGGACCCTTTGAGTTGTCTCTCTAGGAGCCCGTCTATGCAGGGCCTGTAAGGGCAGGTGCTGGGCACATTGTGATTCTCAGGTCTCTGAGTGCATTTCTTATTTAACTCCACAGAGGCCTGTGTTTTGTGACTTTGGTCAATTTTAGTCAAGAAAAGTGGAGGATGCCCTTAAAACAGACACGAAGAAACTTCCCTGTGAGATGCTGGCTTACCCACCCCCTCAGGGCTCCTGCACAGTGGCACCATAATCGACCCTGGACAGTTGGTCACTACTGGTCTCCACATGTTTTTGGTACTAACATTTGATTTAAGCTCTTTCTCTTCTTATTTATAAAGGCTGCTTGTGATAACGAGAAAAAATCATTTTGTAAGACGATTCAGAATCAACTAAATCAGCTAATTACAAAGTTGTTAAGAAAAACTAGAGGAGATATTAAAGCTTGAAACTGACAGCTGTGTGCCCGACTGGTCCTAACTTTGACGGGCTCTCTCCTGACAAGCCCAGGTGACACGGAGGGTGAAGACAGGAAGAGACTCGGGACACGGCTCTTCCTTCGTCCTCTCCTGTCTCCCACGAACCCTGCCAGCCATACCATTTCTCCGTTAAGGCCGTTCGGCTGAACAGAAGGATCAGCTGATGCAGGGGATCAACTCGCTTAGTGCCTTCGTCTTCCTCTGGAGGGTCTGCTCCAGGTTTCTACAAAAGTAAATTTATACATTCACATTGCAATGAGGCGTTCAATCAAACCCAGGAGCAGTGTGAGGGTTGGAACAATGAGTATAAGGAAAGCCCTTCTCTGCTGTGGCAGTGTGAATGTGCATGAATGTATATGAATGTGTGTGTGCATGAATGTGAGTGCATGAGTGTGTGGGAGTGTGTGCACACAAGTATGTGAGTATGTGGGTGAGCATGTATGCATAAGTGTATATGTGAGTGTGCATGACTGTGAAGTTGTATACTTGTGAGTGTGTGAATACGTGTATGTCAGTTATTTTTTTCCACTTTCGTTTACTCTTAAGACTTAAAAAATGTTTGTACAATTGGATAGGTCTTTTACCATGAGGAAAATTATGAAGCATTTTTACTGACTGTAAAATTAATTAACCCTGACTTTTTGTTGAACGACAATGAATTTTATACCTTCATTTACTTACTTACACTTGTGTTTTCTCTGTACATACATGATGTTTTTTTTCCCTGGCTTTAAGGTTTTAATGTTGCAGAAACTGGGTAAATTTCTACAATGTAGCCAATATTCTATCGTTGTTTTAATTATGAAGACAATTTGAATTCAGTTAAAATATCTGAGGGTCATCAAGATTCAGCTTTTATGCACTGAATTGGTTTATCCACTATATTCCCTGATAACTATGACAAAGAAGTGCCTTTTAGATGAGAGGTCTTAAGCCGGGAACCTTTAGCCTCTAACTAGTCTGCAATGTCTGCGACAGCACGCTTGCAACTCACCCTGAGAAGCTGGCTTTGGTCAGATGCTTAGACAGGCCCCTGGCCCGTGGACGATGGACAGAGCTCCCAAGGGCCTGCTCCCCGCGTGCTGTGGCTAAGGACCCCCTCGCCTTCGAGCCTTCGACAGCATCCCCGTGACTCGACCCTGCTTGTGCCCACTCTATCCTTCTCAGCTCTGCGTATTTTTTTTAAACCACCTACTTTTGCCTGAGCTGGTTTGGCTCAGTGGATAAGAGCGTCAGCCTGTAGTCGGAAGGGTCCTAGGTTTGATTCCGGTCAAGGGCACATGCCCGGGTTGCAGGCTCGATCCCCAGTGTGGGGCATGCAAGAGGCAACTGATCAATGATTCTCTCTCATCACTGATGCTTCTATTTCTTTCTCCCTTCCTCTCAGAAATCAATACAAATATATTAGAAAAAAACCCTACTACTTTTCACTTGCTTTTGTTCACCTTCAACTTATGTTTGGTGAGTAACTTCTTTATGGTTCAGCTTCTATAGTTTTATCCTGGTTCTGAGGTATTTAAAGGTGCCTTGACGATGAATTTAAAAGGGTAACAAAATACTCCCCCTCAAAGTTAAGTTAATAAGAAACTTGCATAATTGACCTTAAACTCGGGATTCTCCCCTAAACACGGAATGCATTAACAATTGAGAATAAAGTTTCCCAGGACCTATACTCTGCAACGAGGTTTTCTCTCCAATGCTGCATGGTGACTGCTCACACATGGGGCCCAGAACCCTTTTATTGCACACGCCCATTAGAGACATACCGCTAAGTCTTCTATCAGTTTATCCTCAAAGTAATGCTCTTCTGTCTCAATCCAGGACTTCTCATACCCCTGAAGAAAAAGATTGACGGCCCGGTGCCTACAAGAGAAGCACAATTTCAAACACAGTGTTGGAGACGCCAGCTCGGGATCTGCTGCCACCAACCTGACAGGAGGCAGGAAGCCAGGGCTTGAGGAGGTGCCGTAGGGAAGGGGCGAGCACAGTTCCGAGAAAACGGCTGAGACACAGAGAGGGGCCACACGGAGTAACCCGAGAGGGACGTTCCACTGGACTAACGGTGACACCGTGGTCGAGTCAGGGAATTTAGGAGCAGCGCCTGGCTGTATACACAGTGTGACACGATGGCAAAGCAGCGGAGGTCTCGGTGACAAGTGTGATGCCCCTTACAGCATTAACTCATTCATCCATCCATCCACTTACTGACTGCCAGCATTCTCGGTGCTGAGGGTATAAAATTGGACAAAAGTCTAAAGAATCCAAATTTGAATCAGAGAGACAAGCAGCCAGCACTGAAGGGGGTGCTCCAGGCAGCCATGGCGCCCCGGAACAAGGAGGAAGCGCTCAGACTGCACAATGAGGGCGTGGTCGGATGTCGCTGCGCGGGTCCTGTTTACCATGGGGTGTGGAGGACGCCCTCGTACCAACTTCCGAGAGGGAAGCGCAGTGTCTTAGGGTAAGAGGTTGCGGAGGAACCCTGGGCGCCAGTGACTGGATGCACGTCACTTTTCTGCTAACAAGAGTGGCTGCCCGTCTCTATGAGAAGGCGAGGAGCAGTCAAACGGGTCCCCTTCACTCCCATAAGTTGGTTCCATATCAGCTCTTTCTCCCAAAGAATCATAATCACTGTGGCAAGGCCAGTTCTAAGCACTCCGTGTGTCTCAGCCCCTTCAATAATCGGATCAAGTCTATGAGGCAGATCTTACGGTTCAGAGAGAAAACTACAATGAAGTCAGGTAAGAAACTTGACCACTATCTTAGCCTCACATTAGGTCAAGGCCGTCTCACGCTACCCGCCTCACGGCCTCCGTACGGAGGTCATTTAATAAATGCATTGCAGACCACAGTTTTCTGAGGGTTCCTAAACCAGAAAATCAAGGTCAATGATTAGACACAAGAGCCAATACATCTCTTCTATTCTTCTCTTGCACTATCGTACTCATATTAAGATAGATGGTAGACCCCATCGCTTATTAGGGAAAACTAATTTTCTTCTGTTATAAACGCGAGTCCCGGCTGGGTGGCTTAGTTGGTTAGAGTGTTGTCCCGCACACCAAAATGGATGCAGGTTCAATTCCCAGTCAGGGCACATACCCGGGAAATGGATTCCACCCCTAGTTGGGGCGCTTACAGGAGGTGATGATGTTTCTCACACATCAATGTGTGTCTGTCTCTCTCTCTCTCTCTCTCTCTCTCTCTCTCTCTCTCTCTCTCAAATAAACAAACATATCCTTGGGTGAGGATTAAGGAACAACAGCCACCATGGAAGAGCTCTGACCTTGGCAGGTTGTAGAGAGGGGCCATGCGGAAGCAGGCCACCACCGCCCGTTTCCGCTGCTTCGAGAGCAGCTTGTGCCACACGGCCTTCTTCGACCTCTGAGGGTGCTCCACCTGCAGGAAGAACAGACAGCCCGTGAACCCGAGCGAGCCCCAAAGCTTGCTGGACAGCCATGCCTTTTAGCTAAAATCTTCTGCAACTTAAATTCCAAAAAATACTTTACATTTATGGAAAAGCCCATGTCCTAAATTTGAAATACTTTGAAATGTTATATATTTTTATCAACAAAAATATTTTCCCAATAGTGTGTACTTTAGAAGCTATGTCATCTCTAAAATCAAAGAAATATAAAACCATTCTCTAAACTATCAGTTTGTATCCTTTCAGAATTTGGTTATGGTTCGAAAACATATTTTCTGGCTACACAAAAAATTAACCCACTTTTACTCCTGGGTCCATTTTCACTAACTCATCAAAAGCACTACGGCAGTGAGCACAGAGGCAGTCAAGGGGAATTCTCATGAAAAGCCTTTTGTCCATCAGTGTAACAGGATGGGAAGGAGATGACCCGGCTTCAGGAACACATTACTAGGAGTAACTAAAAAGGTTTAATTTTGCAAAAATGTTAAAATATATATTTTGTTAGATAGGGACAAATGAGAATTTGAAAGCTGCAGTAAATGATGCAAGTGAGTTATTTATTTAGCTAATGGTGTTCGGAACTCTGAGAGAGAAAAAGAGATTAATCGTAAGTATTAGAGAGAAAAGTCCCAACATGTAATTCTAAATTAATCAGTAATCTCTAGGCAAGTGAACACTGTACTTCCCATACTGTAACATCTCCAACGCATACATGTAGATTTCTGGAAGAAATAAAAATGTTATGTTAGCTAAAAAAAAATAATAAAGCTAAGTTTACTACCCTTTGCAGTAAACCGTCAAAGGATGAATGTGCTAATGCTTGGAGAAAACGTTAAGGATGTCAGGGCGACAGTGGTTTAGAAATGTTAACAAAGCAACTTATGTAATTGGGCGGCGCTTGTTTCTGGGAGCAGAAGATTGAGAACCACCGCTCTAGAGGATCGATGAACACCTTCTGACAACGACCCACTGGCCCTTTAAATACCGTTCCTCATGTTGTGACCCAACTATAAAATTATTTTCGTTGCTACTTCATCACTGTAATGTTGCTACTGTTATGAATCGTCATGTACATATCTGATATGCAGGATGGTCTTAGGCGACTCCTGTGAAAGGGTTGTTCGACCGCCAAAGGGGTTGCAGCCCACAGGTTGAGAACCAATGCTCTAGAGGATCAATGAACACCTTCTGACAACGACCCACTTCCAGGTTCTTCTCAAGGACCTTGTGAAGGGAGACAAAATACTGCTGGGATCTAACCCTGCCAGTGAAAACAGAATCCAGGGCAATGCTGTTCAACTAGACTTAACACATTTCCACTTAAAATTCCATTCTGAGATCCAAGACTAGGTGGAGCTTCCGATGAGACCATGGCGGTGGGTGACAGTCAACAAATGCGATTCAAGGCCCAGGCCCTGAAGAGCCAGTGACTGTGGCAGGAGAGGCCTCCACCCTCAGGAAGCTTCTCATTTGGCACAGCATTTCTTACACAGCAAAGACCTTAAATAGCGAGTTTTCCCATAAACCCAGGAATTACGTATTGGTAAGACCTGTGATCCAAAGACAGAACCCCCCCACCCCCCATCCCCGCCCGTGCTGATGAGGTGACTGGAGTCTGAGCATTAGGAAAGTCGGGGAGACAGCGCCCCCTCTGAGGGAAATTACAATAGAAAACACATTCGCAAAGATCACTGATACTGAGATAAACTAAACAAGTATTCTTGAGCACCCACCGTTCTTGCACTGAGTGCAGCAAACTCGGTCACAAGTTAACATTAGAATGCAGGGATCAAAGGCATGAACTCTCCACTCTGGTACTGTCCATGTTTTCCTAGCCCTTGATAATTGACCATTTCTTTTTACACCTATTCATAACGTGAATAACCCTTGACCTTACCTTTTCCTAGATAACTCCTATTCTCACTTAAGCATTTATATAGGAATCACCCACTAGATTAAGCCTGGGACCTTTTATTCCCTCCTCAGCACATTTTGTATCCTAGCACAGCTCTCTCATCACACATTTATCACTGATGTGCCCACCTCCTCTAGCAGAGCTTGAGCAACTGGAGTAGAGGGACCATGTTCAGTCCAGTGCCTGCTGAATGCAAAGCTGCCATGAGGCAGTGCCCTAGAATGGGCAGAGCCCTGCCCCTAACCTTAGTGTGGCTCTTTTCCGGACATGGGGCTGTTTCCCGGAAATGGGGTGGTGCCCTCGAAGGAGGTGGTGCCCTCAAGAAATGTTCACGGAATGAATGGCCGCTCAGTGAAATCAATCTTACTGCTGCACAAATGACATTGTTGATTATGATTGGATATATTTATGAAAATATAGTATCTGAATATAATGCAACAGATTTCAATAAGCTTCATTTATTGTATCTAAAATTCATTCAAGCAAATCAGATATGTACATGAAAACTAGAAAGAATTAAAAACTATGGCCCTGAACGGTTAGGCTCAGTGGATAGAGCATCGGCCTGTGGACTGAGGGGTCCCAGGTTTGATTCCAGTCAAGGGCATGTACCTTGGTTGCGGGCACATCCCCAGTAGGGGGTGTGCAGGAGGCAGCTGATCGATGTTTCTAACTCTCTATTCCTCTCCCTTCCTCTCTGTAAAAAAATCAGTAAAATATATTTTTTAAAAAGACTTATGGTAGTGTGATGACACCAGAAATCGTCCCCTGCAGCCATTTAATTAGCATTTAGTTATCTACTTAAATATATGCATAATTCGAGAAACACAACTCTGACTTTATATAGCACTTCAGATATCATTACCTCAAATCTCTCCTGATGGATGACAATTTGTATTTATTTAATGTTTCATGAAAATATTATGGAAATAGGGACATGTTAAATTTCCTATATTCTATTCTATCATATTACATTATATTACTCATATTATGGTGTTACAGGATGTAAAAGCACGTCAGTAGCCACACGGTGTGAGTACCTAGTTTCAGCTCATCGTAGTGATGAAGCCTAAGGCAGTGGTGTTATTTAACTGGCAGGGCAGGGACAGGAGAGCATCAGATAATATAAAACAGGAATAAAAGAAAAATGTTTATTAATGTGCTACTAGTATGTCCTGCAGAACATTTAGATGACAAAACTACAGGCATTTTACTAGTTTATGTGCCCGTCAGGCAGGCGCTGTCATGAGGCCCAACGGCTGACGACACTCACTGTGGGTTCTCTCTGTGTTATCTTGGAACTATTTTGAATAAAATAATAAAATAAAGGTGTTAATCTCTCTGAATACATTGTCTATACATAGCTACAAAAATCATAAGCTTAGAACCTGTACACACTAGATGCTAAGGGCTCCGGAGTCCTATGTTCTTTATGATGAATGTACTGAGCATAGGACTGTTTGGCCGTGGTTCACAGCCTGACACACATCCTCTTTCCCATCGACGGGTGGGGCAAACCAGACGGAATCAGCAGCCAGTCTGACCTGCTCGAGATGGAAGAGCACGCTCGCTATGTCCAGGACTCGCTCCACCGTCTTCTCGGGATCGGCACTGTCCTCAGGCCTGTTCGGCAGGTCTTTGTAAAGAGCCATTTGCCATCTAATAGCAGGATCCTCCAACTGCGGAGCAGAGAGGAAAGCTCAGGAAACATCAGGTGACGATGTAAAAAGGGGGACGCACTGCTGACGGGGGGTCTGCAGTCATGCATGCGCATAGCACAGTGTCTGGACACACGCAAAGACCAAGACCCAGGGGGACCTGCACTCAGAAATCTATCATCTCGTGCGAAGACAAACACGAAACACGATGAGGGCTACTGCAAAGAAACGTAAGGCACCAGGAGGCTTAACCTAACCTGGTGGTGGTTGGAAAGATTTCCCTAAACAAGCGAAGTTTCTGATGATCGACTTTAAAAATACATTTGTTATTTTGAGGGTCTGTAATATCAAAGTAGGATAATGACTGGTTAAAATAATATATTTTCACTATCTTAACACATTGCGGACGGATCACCAGAATTCTCGCTTCATATTACACAGTATTTTACAAAGTATCATACTTTAAAAAGATATCAGTTTATAAGAACATGTAATAAATAACTTCAAAATGCAATGGGTATTTAATTTTAAAGCGTGCCTTTAACATTTATCTAAAACATTTTCTGTACTTGTTCAACAGAAACTTATCTGGCCATTGGGTAAAGCTAGCAATAAAACTACTGGTCCACAATGTGTTAACTGCTAAAATAACATCACTCTGAGTACTATTCTAAAGAGGATAGCCAATGTATAGATACTAAATGTGCTTTAGAACAAATGTGGCTTACCTTGCCTTGTAAATGAATATTACTGCGGATTATATCTCGGACTTCATCCTCAGTGTCTTTCTGTCAAGAAATAAATGTTACCTAGAAGTCTTGTGAAGTGTCACCTGCTATAAGTAGATGGAAATCATGCACACCTCTATGAAAGCAGTGTACGTCTGCACAGTATTTTTGTAGGCTTTGGCTGCATGCCACAGATCTGGGGCTCTGTCGGCTACTCTGTCGCTGCTGCTCTGACTAGAAACAACAGCTGTGTGACCTCCACAGTAAGTGCATCGAGATGCAATGAGCTCGGTTTCCAGTTCACAGCAAGAAGGGAAGCATCACGCTCCCTGGGGTTCGCACAGACCTGAGTCTCTCCCGAAATGTGCACAGAGTAACTGAGCACCTATGACGTGTGCACCATGCAGTGCCTGGAGCCCACCCTCAGGGTCACTCATTAGACCATGGCCACTCGCCAGCCTCGCTCATTTGCTCAACTCCAGACACACTCAGGGAGCTTCAGAGTTGCCAGGGCAGGAGCGAGGCCTCCAATTTACACAAATACAAAAACAATAAGCCCATGTACACTTTTGAAAAGCTGCATCCTCATAAGCGTAGTCGTGACAATGGAAAACGGGCCATAAAGAAATCTTGAGAACGTAAATCTCAATGCTTGCAAAAAGCTGCTGGTTTAAAAGTCAACACCGCACATCACCATGGCTGCTCCTAACACTGAAAAATCGCCCTTCATCAAAAATCTTATATAGGGATCCAGATGAAATCCATTTTTCTCACTACCTGTGACTTGTATGTATCTTTTCCATGTGGCTCCTGAATGTGCCCTGAAGGTGATTAACATAACTTAAAAATAAAATCAGCCTCCCCCGCCAAAAAAAACAAAAACAAAAACAATAGGCAGCCGTTGAATCTGAGCTCAGGGCCTGTGCAGAAACCACTTGATAAGGCACTCACTGCAGATGAGCAGTGGAGAGAGCCCTGGGAGATAGGCCTGCAAACCCCGTGAGCCGGGGGTGGGACGCTGCAGCCCCTCAAGAAGGAACTCACCATACTCAACCGGTTCTTGGCCAGAGCAATGAGCTCCTGGTCTCCGGGGGCACAGATGTTCAGCCCAATGGGCAGCAGCCGCCTCAGCGCAGCCACGATGAGGGAGGTCTGCACGGAGTAGCGGTCTCCTTTCCGCCTCATCTTCTTCCTCTCCTGGTCGGACACAGCGGCCTGCAGACGGACGGGTGCTGGGGTCAGGCGCTGCTCCGCTCCGGACCTGGCCCTCTCCGGGCTCCAATTCCTCTTTGTCTGCTGGTCGCTATGTTTTAAAATCCTACTGAGGACATTTTTTCTTTTTTCTTCTAATTTTAAGTCCTACTCTCGATTCCCAAGTCATTACAATTCACTGGTGTGCATTTCTTTATAATTTTAGAAGGAAAATGCACATTGTAATTCTAGAGAAGATATGGATATATGAAAACTCCATGGTAACTTTAGATATTGTATGTTTTATAATTTTCAATACTTAAGAAGAAAATTTAAGAATGAATGGTGTGTTTTTGTCTTGACAAATGCCTGCTTTGCAATACACACACACACACACACACACACACACACACACACACACACACACCCACTCTGTATCCATAAAACTATTACAAAGTACACTCCCTTCTGTGTGGCCTGCAGACTTGTCTGCCCAGGGCCCCCCATCTAGGGAAACGGACGTGGTATACTGACCGGTGTCCCATAAATATCTGAGATGACCTCACCTGAGGACAGCCATGCCACCTCAGGTCTCTCGGAGTCCAGAGTCCAGATTCTCCAATCACCTCCTCAACCTGGGCCCACTCTACCTGCCCTAATCACCTGGGCCAGGTCCAGCCAACCAGGGCCTGCCCCTCGGCCCCCGAGCCCTGGAATGATTCACACGAGGTTCACACCTGCTCACCTGTCTCACCTGCTCCTTCCTGCAGAAGCCCCAGCGAAGGTTCTTGCCCACGCTTCCCCCTCACTACCTCTTCTCTTGACCAACCCTGGGCTTCCCCACACACCCCTCTCTATGCGGTGCCTTCTGTTCCTAGGGACACTGAGTCACAACTTCTTCCTCCCTGATAGTTCTGCCTGCGTGTCATACCATCCGTGAGTACGTCAGTCCTGGGTCCCCTCAATTCTGTGTGTATGTGTGTGTGTGTGCGCGCGTGCGCGTGCGTGCGTGCGTGTGTGTGTGTGTGTTCAGTAAACAACATTATCAAATCTATCAAAGTCCACTTATAAACCTTCAAAAAATAAAAAATAAACCAACCAATGAAAGCTGCATGGGGACACTTCTCTCGCTGCGACACAGCACAGAAATACCTTTGACATCTTGGACTTGGTGTCAGAGATGAGGAAGGACATGTTGTTGATTTCATTCTGGACCACGAAGTTCTGCTCCTCTCTTTTGAAGTTCTGAGAAGTCACAAAGGAAATTCCAGTAACAATCACATAAATAAGAAGTCCATGTGATCAGAAGTTCGTAGGAAGATAAATGTTAATTTGATATGTAAGACTCATCAAGAAAGGGAACACGTATGTGTTGAATACAATGAAGGCGCCTGCCCGGGGCGACAGTTCTGGGCATTGCACATAAAAACCAAGTCTCAAAGGTCGGGAAACTAAGGGTGAGAGGATTTAAGTAACGTGGACACACAGCTACCTCGGGTTGAATGACTACTCAGACCTGGGTGAGCCGGGAAAGCATGTGCGTCTCCGGATAAACACAGGGCACAGCAATGGGATGGAGCTTTCCACCCGGTCAGACGTTCCATCTGCTTTTTCAAGTTCCATAACATCCCTTCATTTACTTTTAATTCCGGGTCACAGACGCACTGGCAAAGTGAAGTGACTACTCAGACCTGGGTTAGCCGGGAAAGCATGTGCGTCTCCGGTTAAACATAGATCACAGCAATGGGATGGAGCTTTCCACCCGGTCAGACATTCCATCTGCTTTTTCAAGTTCCATAACATTCCTCATTCGCTTTTAATTCCGGGTCACAGACGCACTGGCAAAGTGAAGTATTTGAGCATTCTCCCTCCTCGCCAGTTAAGTGACCCCCAGGAGACAAGTTTGAGAAACACTAAGGGGCTGGAAAACTGGCTAAATATTTGAAAGCCCTTAACATCCTGCAAACAGCAAGCCCTGCCCATGTTGCCCTACTCACGTGGGACTTGGACCAGTAGATGAACACCTCGGCCACCATGCGGAACAGGTCCTCGGCCTCCGGGCTCGGTTCTTTGAGCCACTTTGCCCTGGATCACAAAATCAATGAAGTGCTTCCTCAGTTACAATTTAAAATTTAAACCTGAAACCAAGTAACTTAGGGATGCTGGCTTCCCACAGAGCACCGATGGCTAAGTGTGCAGTGGTAACACTGAACTAAAACACGGGAACTGTCCAACCGCTAACTTTTACCCGCAACACTGCGCCTGCTTCAGAATGCCCTTCCTGGTTGTAATTTTAAGATGCTCCGTCAAAACAATGCATCTAGAAACATCTGAGTATGAACAGGCTCATCGCTAAGAGGTTAGCGAATGAAGCCATTTGTCCGGGACACAGGAACCCAGCAAGGTCAGGCTGCCATTCGAGAAATCAATCGCTTTGAACTTTCTACCTGTTGTAGTCCACGAATCGGATCAGGAGCGGGTAGAAGGCATAGAGGTCCCTGGCCAGTGTGGTGAACTCGTCCAGGATGAGCAGCTCGGCCTCGGACATGTCCCCTCTGGCCTCGGCTTTCAGATGGTCTTCCTCCGCGACCACCATGGCTGCCTTTTTCTTCAGTTTCTCCATTAATGGCAAGAAATGAGTTTTCAGGAGCTGAGGCTTCACTTTATTTATAATCGGCTGGGAAAACACTGTGAAGACAGACGTCAGTGCTGTGCTCCGCATACAGGTCATGTCCCCCAGGACAGACTGTCATTACAACAGCGGCTCCGCGAGAGCCCTCCCCGCACATCTGCCCGGAGTCAGCCGTGGCCTCAGGGTCTAGTCCCCAACTGACTAGGAATTGAATTTGATGTGCTTCCTTGTTTTTTTTTTAAAAAAAAGATTGACAGCTAATCTAGAATAAAAATTGAGAAAAGATATTCACTCACTTTGCAAATCAACTTTTTTCACACAAAAAAGAAAATTCCCCAAATGGCAAAGGTCCCCTTGCCTTAGAGTAGCTGCACACTGTTCCACAGTGTATGAGCGAAGGTACCGCTCCCTCCCCTATCGCCCCCATCCTGTCCTGGGAAGAGGGGGATTACATACAATACTCACTGCTCATTTACTTAAGAATAGTTGTGGTTGTTAGCAAATCATTCTAAATGTGATGAGGACACTTTTAAAAGGAATTTTTCCCCTAAAGGTAACATATATATATTGCAGAAACGTATAAAAGGGAAATATTAAAATCAACCATAATCACCCTACCTAATTAGTAAGACATTCATGTATTTTTCTCTGGAGTTTTTATAAATAAGTGATTTCACAAATATATACTTATATGGATTTCTGAATTCCATTTTAAAGTCCTTTTCTTTTCATCCTCCTTGCTATTGTGGGCATTTTCCAAGTCATGAAAATGCCCACCTTACTGTTAAGATGGCCTGTATTCTGCTCTATGCTGTGCCCACTAGTAACCACAGGCCAGCGGTGAGCGCTAACGTTGCTCCCACTTGTTCCACATATGCAGGGCAAAGGCACATCACTGCAGTGCGAACATGTGAGGCAGCCTGAGCATCCTCCCCATCCTGGGGGACAGACTGCTGAGGAGCTGATTCAAACCCAGGTTCATCTTTGTCTGCAGAGTCATTAGCTTTTGCTGCTGTGTTTACTCATTGACCTTAGAGAGGCTGTCAGAAGGAAAATGGTTCCTTACTGAAAAGCACATGGAAAGTCACTCACAGTCTGATGATATCTACTTTCTAAAGAACAGCATGATGGCAACGATAATACTGTTTAGCACAGGAGCAATATTAATAAAGACGGAGATAGAAAAAGTCTAGTTTCTGTATTTCAAATCTTTTTGGAAATAAGACAACTTGAAGCGGTCACTCCTTCCCAACCCTTACCTGCCAGCCTCTTCATCCAGGCTCCCTCGTCAATCCCCAGGTTGTTGTAGATGATTTTCAGGATGTTCCCCAGCAGGGTGTTCATGTGCTCCGAGTTCAGAGCCGTGCAGCACAGCCCGGCCCTCTCGGGGTTGCTCTCGGGCCCCTGCTCCCACCACCGGGACATGTAGCTGCAAAGCATGGGCAGGATGACTTCCATCACGTGCGGCATCTGCGTGTAGCGGATCCCGGACTCAGCCAGCTCCACAATCTCTTCCATCAGTTTCTCCAAAGATGGGATATTTGGACAAACATCTTCCACGTTGGCTGGCAGATTGAGAGCTAGAGGAACACACCCAAGAATAAATGGTGGTCACTGAAGTCACAGGCACAAACAGCCATGCCGTTTGGGCTTCAAGATTCAGCATGCCCACCCGCCTCCACTGGGCCCATCCCCTTCCTCCTAGCAGCCGTGTCAGCCGTTCCCTCTCCTTCCCACGCTCCTACCCTATCCTCCCCCAACTCAACTCAAATCCTAGCAGATAATTCTAGTAGGTTCTCAGAGGTCAATCCGTGAAATCATCGGTGAGCTTTCTCCACTGGGGCAGTGAAAGAAATGGGGTTATCTACCCAGATTTTCCCAAACGGAAAGTGACATGATGCGTGGCTTCACGTCTCAGCTGCTGCCCCTGCAGCTGCGTTACCTGCTCTCTCCCGTGAGGAGCTAGTATTGTAGATGGAGCAGCTGTTGTGTTTGTTGAGATGAGTTTCCAGAAACGCCACCGGGAAGGCACCCGCAAAGGCCGCCAGACACTCGCCCACCGCAGATCGCTGCCTGGAGGGGAAATGCTTTGATTTTTATTTCTTCCAAGTAAAAAACTGAAGGTGTATTAAAACTAGCAGTTTAACCTGAGGGATAATAACAGTACTGCTAATACTACTAACCCTCAAGTATAATTTCTATATTATAAATCATCACATGCTTTCAATAACGAAGTTCCTGCCATTAAAAAAGAAAGCCAAATTATCTTTTAGCTTACAAAACAGTAAGTCCTGGCTAGTGTGGCTCGGAGGCTGGAGGGTCAGCCCACACACCAAGGGGTCATGGGTTCGATTCCTAGTTGGGGACACAGGCCTGGGTTGTGGGTTCACTATCTGCCCCTGGTCAGGGCTTGTGCGGGAGGCAACCAGTCAATGTTTCTCTCTCTTTTCCCCTCCCTCCCTCCTTTCCACTCTCTCTGAAAAGCAATGGAAAAAAATATCCTTGGGTGAGGATTAAAAAAAAAATAGGATGAAGAATGGCAAAATTTCAGGCACATAATGTGGGTTAAATAAATGTTTTAAAATGATGAGAAATAATTTATTTAAGAATTTAATAGGTTAAAATGTTTCATGTATGACTTCAAAGTCAGCAATGTATTCCCTTACATCTGATTAGTCTATCATTAATAATTCTTGTCAATTATTTAATAATTTAAATTTTTTATTCAAGTAGTAATTCTCAGACCAACTCTGATCATTTGTGTTGGTATTCTGGAAATAGCCATTTTTCTTTTAGATGACTTGTAATAAAATTACTATATTTTTATTAGCACTTATGTCACTTTTTCATTAAAAAAACATATTTTACACATATTCAAAATGTTAGTTTTATATTCTTCCAGGTCATTTTATCATTGCAAACCTGCACTAGCAGATTCATAAACACTTAAGTTAAAGCTTTATATTAAATATGGTCTTTACTGAGATTGCTTTATTTTTCCCCCCCATAACTCTTTTATTATATTGTAAGGATAGGAAAAAGGCCTTCCTTCTTCGCTGTGGTCTTCCACAATTTATGAGAAGCACCTGGTAATTAAACCCCCCGATTGTTGGCTCCTCTGTTCAAACTGTGGGACAAGATAAGCTACTCTCAAGACTACATTCTTGTATACCCTCCTCCCTGCTGTTTTCACAACTCAGATAATTTGCAGGAAGGCGTCTCTAGCTCGTAGAAAGTTCCCTTCCCACCTCACCTTCAAAAGAAGCCTCTTTTAAACTCTTCATAACTTTTGCCCTAAGCATGTTTTATAGGCTTGGGAAAATACTGATAAGACACCACCCTGAGACATCTGTTGGACTGTCTCCTGGAAAGCAAACACACTGTAACTCTTTAAGACAGCCCTGTAACCTGCTCAACATCAACACAACCCTGACCCCTTCCTTCCTTGATGCTTGGCAACAGCCACAGCTTGAAGAGCAGGCCACCCCTTTGCTCCCTGCCCTGTAACGACTAGCAATACACCGCCCTTACCTCTACTGGAAAGTAAATGCAACTTCCTCTCTGCATCTCTCCTTTTAGTTGTGAATTCTTTCACAGCCCAAGTCACCAGCCAAACCCTAACATAAATCAAACTTACCTTAAAGATTGTGTATCTACTCCCAAAGAATCCATAAAATGAATCTGGTTCTTTAATTTCTAACTAAGGAAAAAGTTATAGAGCGAAGACTTTTTGTAACACTTGAAATAGTTATAATACTTAAAACAGTGATTGAGACAAAGTTAAATTTAAAACTTTACCTTTCCACATAAATACTCTTGCTCGTACCGAGAGCATATAAGCTCGTCAGAATTCTATAACAGGACACCTGTACATCTTCCACTAGGGAAAAAGAGAATTGCACGTGAAAAAAACAACAACACTTGTTATTTACACAATGTCTAAGAAAGCTTCGCAAAAACCAAAATTCCATATTAAAGGTATGCTGATATTTTAACGTCTGAGAGAAACAACATAAGAACAAACAATATGTAAAAGGAAATACGAAAAGGTTTTCTCAAACAAAATTCTTTTCTTTCAGGATCTTAAAGCATTCTAAAGAAGCCCTGTGATTATTCAGAACATGATCAGGAACAATTTCTTTATAATTTTTCTCTAGGTATAAGAATAAAAGATTTTTTCAAGGATAAAAGTAGCACAAGAGTAACTTGGAGGGCAGGTAGGTGTTTGACTCCTGTTCCCAAGGTGTACTAGTATGAAGGTGGCACCTTTTATTTTAGGTCTCGATGAACCAGCCTGAGAATGGTAGGGGACGGAGTGTGCTAGTTATTTCTGACACAACCTGGCGTGTGCAGTATAAGTCAGTCACTTTGGTGGTTTCTGCAGCTAGAGAATCAAACAAAACCTGGTAGATGATCCCTGACCCAATCAGATGACTATTGGCAAGGAAATCTAAGAACCTTGAATTTCCAATTCTAACTTGGCTACTGTTTCCTGCAGGAAACACGACATCAATGGAGAAACCACCGTGTCTTCCAGACGGTTTCCATGGCCACACTGCAAGCAGTGCTCCCGCTGCTTCCAGCAAACCCCGCAGCCAGTGTCCTTGTCAGTCACCCAGCTCTGCAGTGGGTTTCGCGCAGAGCTGCACGCCCCTGGGACCTACACACTGCGTCTCAGCAGCTGGGTCTGAGACTGCACGGCCAGGACTTGCACCTTCTCTCGTGTTCATGTCAGCACAAGGGCAGGACACTGGGCAGGTCATGCGTTATTTTTTCCCACGTAACCTTGGGCATTCTGTGGGATATAATTTTTTTAAATATATTTTTATTGATTTCAGAGAGGAAAGAAGAGGGAGAGATAGAAACATCAATGATGAGAGAGAATCATTGATTAGCTGACTCTGCACGCCCCCTACTGGGGATTGAGCCCACAAGCTGGGCATGTGCCCTGACCAGGAATCGAAACGTGACTTCCTGGTTCATAAATTGATGCTCAACCACTGAGCCATGCTGGCCGGGCCTGTGGATATTTTTAATAATTACAGAATTCCAGCCAACAACAGCCGGTCAAATCCCCAATGAAAATAGACTGAAACCTATTAACAGCAACTGTGTGGGTCACCCAAGGTGACAGGTTATTTGGACACAGACTGGTCTCAGCAGCCTTCAGTTTACTGGTAATGCAGCCATGGAAAGGGTCTGCATCGACTCAGAAACAAGTGGAAACGTTTCACATGTGTGTCCCGTGGTCAGACCGCGTTAGCAAGTGTCATGGGAAGAGACAACACGGAACAGTGACTTTGAAATTTGCACTTGGACCGTGGAAGACTGTCATGCGATTCGGCGGTCTACCTCTGCAAGAACGGTTTCTGTCACTCACACTCAACCTAGAATGTTCTGCAACACAAGCAGGTTAATGTTCACGCAGCGTTGGAGGGACCCAGATGTGGCTTCCATAGCTGCCTGTGCCGCCTAGAAATGGGGCTCTAGGTGCAGGTCTACGTACGGATCAGGTCTTCCCCGAACTGGTGCTGGCCGATGTGCTCGAACAGGGAGGACAGCACAGGCAGCAGCGCCACCGTCGTGTAGTTGATGATCTGCGTGACGCCCCGCGGCTGGCTGCGGGTGTGCGTGAACTGGCCCTCCTTCAGGTTCTCCAGGGTCCTGTCCAGGTCCTCCGCTGCGCTGTCCAGAAACGCACTGAGTGCGCCCTTCACACTCTCCAGGCCGGTCTTCATGACGGTCCTGCGGGGGGACAGAGGGCAGGCGTGAAGGGAGCAGTGAGCAGGGACACACTCTGCTTTCTCACAGCACACACTCAGTCGTCAGCCTTTTACATGCACTCAAACACTTCCACACACTTGGAGTGTTAGCCACATTGCTCTGTAATTCACCACTGATCCTAAAATGCTCAGTCGTCAGCCTTTTACATCCACTCAAACACTTCCACACACTTGGAGTTTAGCCACATTGCTCTGTAATTCACCACTGATCCTAAATTCCTTCAGAGTCAACTCCAAGAGAACCTCAGAGCAGAGGGCAGGGCGAATGCCTAGTTTTCCACCTGCATTAGCAGGTCTCAAATTCTGAGAGTGTTTATTCTAAAACTAAGCAAACACAGCTTAGTTTTAGAATAAACACATCCCAAATCCAACCGAAGGAGAATGTTTCCGGAGCAATGGCTGTGAAAGAAACATTCGATGGCAACTCCACCAAGTCGTCAAGTGACACAGGAGTTCGGTGCTTTGAGGGGAGATGTAGAGTGATATACCAGCCTCTCCTCATACGCAGAAGGAGACTCCTGGGCCACCATTGCTAGTAAGAATGAAGGTGCATAATGTAAGAATGAAGGTGCACAAGGGCATCTCCTTTTGCTGTTTATTATACAAAACACCTCAAACAAAGTTTTAAACACAAACCTGGATTATCCAAGGAATCATGGAATACTCTCTGTAAGAGACCTTCAGAAACTTTCATTTGGATTTGTCCTGGGTAATAAATGAACTTAACGTGTGGCTGAAGGCTGAGTCGGTCATGCTACATGGGTTGACTCTGTGTACAGACCACATGCTGGGTTGCCGGTTGTGTCGATGGCAGGCAGAGGAGAAGGGGCACAGACCGGGGCTGGCTGACCACCACTCACTGGGCAGTCTTAGGCTTCACTCTACATCTGTAACCTGAGAGTAAACCCTCATGTTTCCGATAAAGTAAATGTTATCGCACACGTGAGCCGGGCACGGTGCCTCGACACCCACATGACCTCCAGAGCTATCACTACCACTTTTCCCTCACAGGACACATTCCCAGCTCAGCCCTAGTTACACGCCAAGATGCTGTAGAAATTACTAAAATTTAATGATTTACATATGATCGTGAAAGTAACAAAATGCCATTGTATTAGTAATTTACCAAGGATTCTTCTTTTCACCTACACTGAAATCTTCAGTACTATCCCAAAGAATATAATGAAGGCAAGTAGCCCATTTTAATATTCTCCAATGTCATTATGATTCTCGCTGATTTAGATAAAAATGGACCCGTGTACCTTGCATCCAGAGTCTGACCCAAAATGTGAAGACAGTTGACAATGGATGCTGCATCGTTTCCTAAAGAAGAAGAAGAAAAAAGGTGTATGAATTGCCCTGAGAATTTGCCAGTTTTCTTCTTTCCTATTCATAGTCGTGCTTCAAAAATTAGTCCACAGCACAACTCAATGTAATAGCTCAAACAGATCTCTGACAATCGAGTTTCACATGCAGTTTCCTGCTACGGTGGTTATGCGATGTCAGTAGGGAAGCGGAGAAGCGGGCCTCGGCGAGGAGCTGATGCACTCAGAAGCGGTGGAAGCGCTGCCCAGGCTGGGGGTCTACTGAGTTCTCCACGGACACCCCTCCACAACCAGCTCGCCTCCTTGTTAAATCACATTGCATGGCAACTGTGAAGTTAGCTCACAGCCTTTATGGGATGAGGTGGCTGAAAGTCTAATAAATGTAATTCCAGTTTGATTACCCAGTGTCTCTGCCTTCTGATTGCATTCACCTGGATTCAGAGCAGCTCATCTGCCTGAATGCTGTTGGTCTTTGGTGAAAGAGGAGCACCATGCTATTATGTAAAAAAGCATCGGAAGCTGAGAAAGTTAAATCCTACTCCCATGAGACACCTAAAATGGGGCTGACTGTTCTTAAAAGATATAATCCCCTCATTTTGACTGGCAGAAATGTGAATTATACAACCACTACCTATATATTACTTTGTGATAATAAGAAAAGCAAGTCCAAAGTTACAGTGATTTGATTGCTCACAAGATAGTCTGATGTTATGATATCTTTATTCTGTATTCTATATATAATGTGTGTGCACACTTTTTTTTTCCTTACTGTATAACATATCGTCATTTCCTGGATCCTGGGGTTAACAACTCCAGTCTGATTTTAAGTTTTTATGACATCTAAGTATGTTATAGTCTTTATATAAAAAAGTGTCCTAAAATGAATGAATTAAATATGCATGGAAACTAATACTTGCTTTAGAATGGCAGCGAGCCAGTTCAGTGACATGATACAAACAACAACAAAAATAAAGCACTCATTACGGAGCCTCTGAGTACTTTCAGAAAGGTCCCGTTCATCTTGTGCTTGGTGCCTCAGAATTCCTGATGGTAACGAAAACAAAACGAGCAGAAGGGCAGGATTTGTTACATCCCTGTCTATTGGCTGGTGGCAATCTTAGGGCTTGTGCTGTAGTCCCTGAAAGTGTTATTCATTTCATTATTCATTCACTCAATAAATACTGGCTACATACCAGACACTCTCAAACGTCAAGTAATAAGCAAAACAGCGTTCTCAAGGTACTTGCATTTTAGTTGGGATACAGATAACAAACAATTCATCAAAAATCAGCATGTAACATAATATCAGGCCACAGTAAAAGTAGGTAGCAGGACATAGGGATTAGAGCAACTGGAGAGAGTAACAAGGGGAGTGGTTAGGAGGCCGACCCCAAGGAAGTGGGAAATGAGCAGAGCTATTTGAAGGAACAATGAAGGAACAGACCGTGCATGCAGCTGGGAGAAGGGCCCAGGCAGAGGAAACTGCAGGTGCAAAGGCCCTGGGGCAGAGAATGAGGAAGTGAAGTGGCTGATGCGGGTAGATGGGGAAGGAGATGTGTGACGGAAGGAGGGGGAGCCAGGGGCAGTGCCCTGCAACTAGAGCAAGAACTCTGGGCGTGTTTCTTAGGTGCAACAGAAAGACAGGTTGTGAACAGATTGGAATCTGACCGATATTTTAAAAGGATGAAATCCCAACATGCAAACCTCTGAAGGGCCGCGTGACGTGAGCCAGGACGCTCCTGCGGTGCCGCCAAGGGGTTGGGGGTGAATTTGATCAGCATATCAGCAGGGAAGACATTGGGAACATATTTTTAAGTTTTTTCTTATGGGTTAAATGGGACATTTATCAGCTGTTTTTCTCTTATTTTATTTCCATTTCTCCCTATCTTTCCTACCTGCCCCCTTCCCCTTTTTCTCTTTGGTTTTCTTTTGTCTTCAGCCTGTTCAGCAAACTCGGAGTTCTTGTCAGGCATAGGACCTCACTGTTTGGTAAGGAGACCCCTGGACAAGCACCCGCACGCCCTCACGGGGCGGCTCCCAAGCATGAGGATGCCGACTAGGGGTCAGACTTCCTGCAGGCTGCGGATACAGCAATAAGCCCTCAAAGAGCTGAGCGGTTTGGGCCAGAATGAGATGTTAACCCAGGGACATCACCAGAGAGGAGGAGCAGGTGCAGGAGCCGTGAGCGTCACAGGCAGGAGAGGCCTCGGGAGGTGGGAAGGTGGCCTGAGAGAGGAGTGTCTGGCTGGAACTCTGAAGGATGGGCAGCTGCCTCCATGGCGGGATGAGGGATCGGCAAGTGAATGGACTGTAGGGGACCCGGTACCAGTCGGCAATGACAGTACATGCCGGGACCTGAGCAGAAAGGGAATCCACACGGTCAGGGAGCAGAGAGGCCCCTGAGGCTGAAGCACAGGGAGCCGCAACTTGCTCCGGGATGCGAATGGAGGCCACAGGAGCCGGACTAGGGACCGGGCACGTGGCCAAAAGAAGAATTCTGGTCTTTATTCTAAAGAAATGGGAAGCCACTGGATGAGCAGGCGTGTTCTGGGAAGACCGGATGGTCTGCGGGGATTCAGAGAGAACAGTGCTCCCTGGCGGCAGGAGAAACACGACACGCCTGCAGGTGGCCTGGGGAACTGGCACGTAAGAAATCATTTCTGTCCCCACCTCCTGGAGAACGCCCTGCACACACGGACGTACAGTGCTCTGCTGAGTGACGTCAGGAAGGCATTGGGTTTATTTTCATAAGGAAAAGTGAAGCCTTAAGAAGTGCCGCTGTGCCCCGTGCCACCATCGCTGCCCTCACAGCCTGACCCCGCCTCCACTAAAGCCGCTGAAAGGCTGCCCTGGGCTGGAATGTGAGGGGTTTGTCTTCTCTAACTGCCTGGAAATCAGGGATGAGAGTTCCTGAGCAGCTGGGGGGGGGGAGGGGGGGGGGGATTAAAGGCACTCGCTCCTCAGTCAGCAATGGGTCATCAGCATGAACTTACAACCACTAGCGAGCATTCCAGAGTCCAACAGCCAAGCCTATATGTACACAAGATGCTGCTTTCTCATTATTTTCCCCATAAACCGTTTTAATGGATACACGAGAACTACTGTTCTGTGGGGAATGAGGCCTGTCTCCCTTGTTAAAACCTTACCTTTTTTTAATATAAAAAGAGTGGCATGAAAACACTAATGTCTTTAATTCTTAGAGAGTGTGCTTCAAAAGATAGGAAATATTTGGATTAAAGATAAACTGTATTAAGTCCAAGTTTTAGGCTTCCTCACTCTATAGATTGGAGATATCTCTTGCCCTGCCCAGTGTGGCTCTGCTGGTTTGATTCCCCGTCAGGGCACACGCCCGGGGTGCGGGCTCCATCCCCAGTGGGGGGGTGTGCAGGAGGCAGCCGAACAATGATTCTATCGCATCATTGATGTTTCTCTCTTTCCCCCTTCTGCTCTCTAAAATGCAATAAAAAAATTTTTTTTAAAGAAAAGCATTTCAAACCCAGGAGACACTTGTAGATATAACTACCATTTGGCATCCAACTTGGATAAATATTCCATCACTTATCAAACTAGCTCACCACAGGCACTGCCACTAGCTCACCACGAGCGCCACCAACAGACAAGAGTCTGGTCCCCTGGTTTTTTTTAAAGCTCCCCTTGGTCTCAATTGCACTTTTCTCACTCATTTCATGAGTTAGGAACATGGCTCTCTCTACACTTCACCTTTGCTCAAAGACAAAGCCAGAGAATTATTTGTCAACTTTCCGTCCTGCCTGGAACCTCTTCCAGGTGAAAGCTATGCGGTTACAATAAGATTAGACTGCTTATTTTAGTCTGGTTCAAAAATAAAAACCAAAGTTCAGAGACAGCAAGTCCTTGTCCAGATCAGTCCGTTGGCTTAGTTACACACATAGGACTTGCACCTGGGTTTTCTGGCTCAAAGCCCACACCGTTCTCTCCAGGACACCATGAGTGTCTGCGCCAGGTTATAGCTGTGTTGTCTGAAGGTTACGTGTCTAATGGAGGTGGGTAGGGCTGTGAGGACATCTGTAATAATGTCAATAATAAAAATAAAGTTAAACCAAGAGGGCACCTGCAGGTGCTTCGGCATGGAGTTATCGGGTGCAGGGGTCAACTCCATCCCCCAGGACTCAGGGGAGTGTGTGAGGAACTCTCAGCTATGCCAGCAGTTCCCCGACAGCTTCCATAAGGCACCCTAGTTACACATGCTCTGCGAGTGTGAGGGAGTGGGCTCCCGAGTGTGAGGGTTGATAATGCGGTGTCAAAAAACAACAACAGAAAAGCTTTCAGTAGCTATTAAAGAAATAAACACAGATTAAAGATAAAGTGTTTAAATATATGTGTACATATTTAAAAAAACAAAAAATAAAGTTTACATGTCTTAGACTTAAAGATTCTAATAACTGGACATGTCTATACTGTAGTATGTTTGGCCTCTTGGAGTTTGTGTTATTTTACAGGAAAATGCCAAAGCAAATTTGAAACAATAACAGATATCAAAATAATATAAAGAATTCACAAAAATATGGTGTTGAAGAACAGTTACATAGTAGCTCTCCAAAAAGTTCCTGTTAAAAATTTTTAAAAAATGGGTACAGACACAGGTGACATTTCACAAGCTATGGCACCAGGCTGTCCTGAACACTTGTGTACTTTGCTGTCTGTGTGGAATACCTCAGAAATTAACAAAAGGAAATTATATAGAGAGATAACCCAGGAAACCAAGCGTTTCCTATAGGTAAGAAGTTAGAAGCCACGTAACGGCAGTATTATGCTCATTCATAAGAATGCAAAAAAGTGCAGCTGAGCCCTGGCCGAGTGGCTCAGTTGGTTGGAGCGTCATCCATACACCGAAAGGTTGCAGGTTTGATTCACGGTCAGGGCACATAACCAGGTTGCCGGTTTGATCCCAGGTTGGGGTGAGTGCCGGAGGCAACCAATTGATGTTTCTCTCTCATTCTCTCTCTCTCTCTCTCTCTCTCTCTCTCTCTCTCTCTCTCTCTCTCTCTCCATACCCTTGGGTTAGGATTAACAAAAACAGTGCAGCTAGAAACCTTGTCCTTATCAAGCTCTATATGAGGTCACACTCCCTAAAGACAAACGGAAGATGTTGGAATCCACTGTTATTGTGAGAAGGTGAAGGAGTACATGAACATTCTGTATGAAATGTTTCTCGGTTGAAGAGAAGTCCAACCAAAGTTAGTCTCCCGGGAATTGTGCAGAAGATAATGTCCACCCTGCCCTGGTGGCTCACCGGTTAGAGTGTCATCCCCAGTTTGGTCCCTAGTCAGAGCACATACAAGAATCACCCACTGAATGCATACATACTAGTAAGTGGGACAACACATCAGTGTTTCTCTCTCTCTTTCTCTTCCCTTCCTCTCTCTCTATATATAATCAATTTTTTAAAAAAAGATGATTTCCACATTAATTTTGGATAACTGAAACATGAATGCAAAAATTCAGGCAATCTATATGAAATATAACTTATAATAACTAAATTTAAGAACACCAAATATTGGATGCAATGATAATAGAAACCAAATATGTCAAGTAATTATGTTCAGAAACTGTAATTTCTCAAAAAATTTAATGTTTAGAACTTACAAGTTATTTGTGTGTATTTATATATGTACACACACACACACACACACACACACACACACACACATATATACCTATTCCTCAGTTATTCACTGTGCCCTTGATAGAACCCTTAGTTTTCCCTGTAAATGGAGTTAAGCTGATAGCACCTTTTTCAGGGCACTGAATGTCTTGTTACTGAGGTCACCCTAACTCTGCCTTGAGAGCTCACATATGGAGCTCGCGTGTACTTGGCCAGCTGACCACAGCAGATGGAGGGAAGGTCCCACTCAGCTCGCCAGCCGCGCGGAGTCCCCTCAGCGAGGACATGGGGGAGGGAGTGGCCGCCCTGCACGCAGGGGAGGCAGGTGCCAGAGTGTGGACTTCAGCTCGGTGAACTCAGAAACCAACAGAAACTGACTATGGGCTGAGTGGTTCTAGAAAAGTCACTTTGGCTAAGTGAATCCTTGGCCTCACTGTCTACTCTGAGGCTCCATGTCTGAAATGCAGTCGGCATGCACATGGGTAGTCCAGAGCATTAAACGTAAGTGCAGGGAAAATTTTTTCACCTATAACAGCTCATTACTGAATCGATCCGAGATCAGCAAACACGCATTCAAGGTCCCTGTTAAGCTGCTCCCTCTGACATAAACATGGCACGCACCGCCGTCCCCAGTCCCTTGCTCGGTAATGGTACAACCTTTGGGTTTTCACGTGAACAGTGGACGAGTATAAAAAGCTGGTCTCCCATTTCACCACAGGGCAGGCTCCTGAGGAAGGACCTGCAGGCCCGGGGCCAGGCCCAGGACGAGCACATGCAGCCATGCCCACGTGCGCGCATGCAACACCGCACACCACACAGTGCTGACGCGAAGGACCCAGTGAGGCCATGCGGGTGCTTGTCCAGGGGTCTCCTTACCAAACAGTGAGATCCTATGCCTGACAAGAACTCCGAGTTTGCAGAACAGGCTGAAGACAAAAGAAAACCAAAGAGAAAGGGGGAGAGGGGGGAGGTAGAAGAGACAGTGAGAAATGAAAATAAAATCAAAAAAAAAAAAAAGAAGAAGAAAAAAGAAAAATAAACAGCTGATCTATGAGCCAGAAAAAGCAACATGATGTCACGCAGAAAGTACTGATTCTCCAAGCAGAATATGGAGTAAAGGTATTAAAGAAAGTTTCTGAGTGCATATCTTTAACAAACATGGTTAAAAAAGCACATATTATAAGAAACAAAAAAAATTAAAAGCAAAGCTAATTAATATAAAAGCAATCTATATGAAACCCGCAAAAATATAACTAAAGAAAAACCACAAGGAAAAGATTTATCTGTCCAAATGTACTATTGAAATTCTAGAATTGGTGGCTGTAAATTATTTAACAACAGAAATGTGGTGCTTTGGGCATAAAACGTTACGTTAAGTTTGAGTGTGTTTCATCACTTGGACTTTGCCTCTCCCCAACCTTGAGCCCTTACACATAACACTCCTGTCCCTCCCAACCAAGCATTTCCCAAAGGCCGTTCCTGAATTCTGTCTGCATCTGTCTTCCCATGTGACGGACGTTGCCCTCACATTCCCCTCTGCACTCTGCGGAGACACAGTCCTGACGCTGTCACCTTGGACAGGGATGTGACGGCACCACCCACATCCAGCCCGACTTCCCAAGCACGGTCAGCGCTGGTCCTGCCTGCCCTCCTCCCGGCACAGCTCTCCCAGGACCAGCGTGGCAGCATGGGGCACCGACTCCGCCAGGGAATAAACAGGGCAACTAGCTGCTCGTGACAGGCTGACAGAAAGGCCGAGAAAATCACACCTGTGATGCTGACCTCCCCTAAGAGAGTGTGGCCTCACATCTCACTGCAGTTACAAAGTGGACTCATTTATAAGTGAAAGTCATCACATGGGGGGAAGTCTCAGCCATCTACTCGGGCAGACACCCGATTTCATGGCATCAGCCCCTGCGCTGTTAACTGGACAACAAAACAGAACAAGAGCAGCCTCTCCAGATGCCTCACCACAGAGCTCCACGTGAGGACTGACCGCACCAGGATCTGCCTCAGCTGAAGGGGAGCGACCACATCTCAGAACTGCACACATTCTGGATGTATCTCGCGATACCGTTTACCTCTCACTAGGGGGTGCTCTCTGGAGTCCTGGGGAAACTTCCTGAGACATGCTGAATTCGCAGCGCAAGGGCTGTGTTTTTCCTGAGTAAGCCAGACCTGGGATACTTTGCTGTGATGTTAAACAGAACTGCTCTGTATCCTATGCCGTTAGGTGACACTTAAGTCTGAGACCCCGTCAGAGAAAAGTGACCTCTTCCATCGGCTGCTCCTAACAGTACCTGATGTGCCCCCTGTGAGCATCAGTGACATATAGAAAGCTGGCCCTCCTGTGCTGTCACTTTCAGGGTGTACGTTTGTTTGTTATGAGCTCTGGCCTACCCTTTCTCTAAAAATCCTATATAATAAAAGGCTAATATGCAAATCAACCGAACGGCAGAACAACCAGTCGCTACGACGCACACTGACGACCAGGGGGCAGACACTCAACGCAGGAGCTGCCCCTGGTGGTCAGTGCGTTCCCACAGGGGGAGCGCTGCTCAACCCAGGCTCTTGGCTGGCAAGTGCAGCAGCAGTGGTGGGAGCCTCTCCAAGGCTCATGGCTGGCAAACGCAGCAGCAGTGGTGGGAGCCTCTCCTGCCTCTGAGGCAGCGCTAAGGATGTCCGACTGATGGAGCGGGCCTAAGCCATCAGTCAGACATCCCCGAGGGCCCCTGGACTGTGAGAGGGTGCAGGTTGGGCTGAAGGACCCTCTCTGAGTGCACGAATTTCGTGCACTGGGCCTCTAGTATTTCCATAATACTTGGTCCTCTCTCTCTCCCCTCATGACTAACACTGGAGAATTTATGTAGGTTCTTCCTCAGCATTGCTACTCACTCGCTGGCTCCAGCACCCCTTGCTGCCCTGCCACTGCTCCCCACTGAGCGCCTTGAGGGCCTCAGGACCGACCAGCACACCGACCTTCTCCATCTCCATGTGGCCTCACTGGCTGTGGAACCTGTGACACTCGGATTCAAGCATTTCTCCACCAAACACATATTTCCAACTTTGGCTGGATCTCCAGATGAACAAGCTGCTAATAGCCAATAAATACCAAACCAAACTTAACCTCTTCCTGAAACTGGCCCTTCTGAAACTCCTCCAGGGTGCCAGTGACACAACAGTGTTGACTGCCCAGCCTGGCACCTCAGCACCGCGCTGGCCTGCCTCTCGACTTGCCTGGTTGGCTGTCTCTCTCTGTGTCTCTCACACCCAGCCCCTCTTCCCATTCACACAGTGCCCTCTACACCCCAGCACTTCATACGTGTCCCACCTCCATGCATCACCCTTATTACATGGTGAGCTCCACGTGTCTGTGTCATTCAGCCGTACTTCTGAGTTCATTACAATTAAGGACTGTGTCCTTGCATATCCCTGGGTTAGGGCAGCACCATATCCAGGGCCAGGACAGCACCGCGTCCCGGGCAGGCATTCAAGAGTCTCTGCAGAAGGAGCCCGAGGGGCCCCGCACTGGCAGTGGCACTTGTGTTACGGGGCCTCCACCGCCTGCGTGGCCCAGCCCGCCCTTCCGCTCCCCTGCTCCTGCCAGAAGCACCGGGTGGTCATTCTCCCCTGGAAGAGGCTTCAGTGGCTTCTTAGTGCTGACCAATTAAGTGAAAGCATTCATGAAAATTCAAAATATGGAAGATGTCAATGACAACAGTTAATGCCAATGACAACATTCCACGGTGAATCCACATTCCCTGAACCTGCCCTGGTACCAGACGGTGAAGCTGCTCTGGTTCACTTGGTGACGGTAGGTCAGCAAGGACGAGGGCCCTGTGGTCCGTGAGCAGTTCTGGGAGTAAGACTGACAATGGCAGGGAGGCAGCGGACAGAGCAGGCGAGGGGGAGAAGCGGCATGTGTACAAGTCTCTGCATTGTTCCTATGTCCTCTGATTGCTTTGTCTCCTGATTTATGTAACTGAGCAGCATCTGTATGACCGATGCCCTCGGGAACACACTGTGTGTGACAAAGGCTGACTGGGCCCAGGGAGGACAAGGACACTCTGCAGCGGCCCTGGGGGCACGGGTCAGTGGGAACTTGGCTCCCTGTGAGCACTCACTGTCCAGGGGGACCTGGGCCCAGGAGCTGAGACAGGCCTGTGAGGTGAGTGGATGCCCCTTGGGACGTATTCATTGTACATCAGATTTATCAACATTGCGGGTAGATTTTTATTTGACTGAGTTTGGGGACATTTTAATGCTATTGCAATCCTCTATCACACGACTGGCTACCTACTGGCTGGAAAATAGATAATGTATCTGAGTAAAGAGATGAGTTTAAAATTCCATTCAAGTCCCCATTCCCAATGTCACTAATGCAGAAGTCTAATTCTTCACCCTGTGCACCCAGTCCCATCTCCTCTATCCGACAGCCCGCACGGCACTGCCATCCAGCATATCATTAATGCCGAGTCCAAGGAAAGCCCGTGCCTGCTTCGTACGGGTGAGGCATGTCCAGGAAAGTGTTTCCGCTGCAGCTAGAGCTGGACCCTGGCCAGACAGCGCAGCCACGAGGAAAAGGCTCCCTCAGTCAAGCTTCTCATGTACAAGTTCTGGGAGAATTCTGGGTCCACGCTGGAAACCCCAGGGCAACCACCAGTAAATCTATGACGAATACTTAGATTTAAACGAAAATGAGAAAGCGTTGCTACCATGCCAGCTAGAGCAGGGCAAGGGGAATGCTCGGAAAGGCTGCACTGACTTCACTTTCTTCCAAGAGTTGACATTATTTTTTTTTAACATTTAAAATTATAACTTTTGTAAATGGGATTTTGCCCTCCTAAAAAATTAAGGTTGGTAAAAATATGAGATTGGAACGAATTTTAATAAATTAATCTTAAAAGCACCATCTTTCCAACCTCCTAATACAGGGGTGCTCTCCAGCGTCCACCTGTGAATTGTGTGGGTATTTTAGTCCTTCCATTCAGCAGCGAATACAGAAAACCTCACTGTCTAGATCACATGGATTAACCTGCAGAAACCGTCATCCCCGGGGTCTGAGAGCAGGTGGACGGCCGGGCAGAGGCACTGGACACAGCTGCTCAGGCCAGCGCTCCTTCCCCAGGGCGCGCCCCGCTCCGCCCCGCCCCCCAACAGTCTGCGTGCACAGCTGTTTACCTCGTCACCATTTCCTTCTCCTTGTTTGACGCATGTCCTCCAGAGCACAGCGGTCTGCTCGCTGCAGACAGGAAGTATAAACGATGGTTTTTGAAATACTGATCAATTAGAGGCAGGACAACCTGAAAGGAAGGAAAAGAAGACAGGTGTACATAGGAGTTTGGGGGGGGGGTGAGTGAGCTCTGAGGCTGGAGCAGGCAGACCATGTCCACATGCAACAGGTCCCAATCCCCGCAGCCGCACCAGCCCCCTGGCAGGGAGTGGCTCTCACCTCACCCTGCTCCTGCCAGTTCCTGTGTGTGTGTATGTGTGTGTGGGGGGGGAGGGGGAGGCTGGGACTTATGAGGGATACACTAAATTGTCAGCTGTTTGGAATGATTTTTAGTATTTTATCAAAATGAAATATTCTTAATAATCCATAAATGCAGTTTGGTCGCAATCAATGACTGCCACTTATGGGGCCTCTGCCACGTGTGAGGACGGCAGTGACATCTGCATGCAACCCACCGGTGAGACTCTGTGTGGCAGTGCCATCCCTTCTCTGCTGGTGCAAACTGAGGTGTAGACAAGGCGTGGTCCCCTCAGAGTCGCCTCCCACTTCCTGCGCCAGCCCTGGGGGCCTTGGGTGACCTCCTCCCGCCCTGCCCACTTAGCCACGCCCTCTGTCTGCAATGCTCCTCCCTCACCCGCGACAGTCCACTCCCTCCTGCAGGCCTCCTCTGGGCTCTTCCACAGGACACCCTTGCTCACTCCTCAACTAGACAAGGCCTCCCTATTCCCGGCTCTTGCAATACCCTCTGCCGTTTTACACTCTCTCTGTGATCTGGGATAGTCTCTCTCCCGCAGAGTCTCTGGGACACAGAGAACGCCCTTGCTCACTCCTCAACTGGACAAGGCCTCCCTATTCCCGGCTCTTGCAACACCCTCTGCAGTTTTACACTCTCTCTGTGATCTGGGATTAGTCTCTCTCCCGCAGAGTCTCTGGGACACAGAGAACAAGGAACTCTTCTGAGTTTGTTCCCCCTCAGTCCTTTCCTGGACCCTGTGACCACCACCTCGCAGGGTCATTTACCACGAAGCACCAATGCTGAGGGCTCTGCTGGGCATGTAACAACCAGCAGACCAATGTTTGTTGGACAAATAAATGAAAAAAGTAAGACTAAATGGCATTCCCAGCACTGAGACTCAAGTCTCTCTCACTACATTGTCCCCTACACGGTGGTGCAGAATATGTATACAGGATAGGAACATGGATGTCTGGTGATCTTCCTAGAAAGTTGAGACATTGCCCGAACTTAGTGATTGGCATGTGATAGGTGCTCAACAAATATGTGAATGAATGAGTCATAGGTTTAGTAGACATTAAGCCACACTAGGCACCGGCAAACAAAATCACTAGGGTGCTGAGGACGCGAGCGATGCAATACAAGGATGTCTTTAAACAGGGTGCAGGCCATGAATTCAGCATCCCCACCCCTGACTACCCAGCGGATTGCGTCAGAGTGAAAGAGATGACTGGCAGTGTGCAGCTCAGAATAAACTTCGGATGCCTCATGCAGACCTTGAGCAGAAGAAAAGACCAGAGAAATCTCCCTGGCAGTAAAAGGCACAATTCTAAAAATAAGGCGGGAGCCAAATGTAAGTCAATCGGAAGAATGTGCCATTTTGCAAACAATTTCTAATGCGAGTACTTTGAAAGGAAATTGGCAGACGTGATTAGGTCTTTGGGTTAATTGCAACATCCTGTCCACGGGAAAGTGTCCAGGGCATTCCGTGTCCGTGACAGAGACGTGCCAGGACAAGGTCTGACGCCTGACAGGCCAGGCACAGTGCAAACACAGAGAAAGTCAATGAACTAACATGGAAACTTGATAATAAACTCTGCACCTTCCCCAGTGGCTAAAGTCATCAATGCTCTGGGCAAAAAGCAGATTCTTGAAAAATTGTGTTACATGGAATGAACACTTGGTATCTGACCAACAGGTGGTCTCCGAGCCTCAGCCTCCCCATCTGTAAGCCAGCAGACTAAGGCCCCACCATAAAGGTCCTATTGTGACTGTCCTATTCATGTTCCCGGGTTACAAATCAGCTGGTGTTTTTCATCTTTCTGAAAGAAACGCTCAACTAAAAATGTTCAATCATAACAACATTCCAATACTAAGAAATGGGTATTTTCTTCTATGTTGTATGATGAAGCCGGAAAAGGAGAACTCTGAGAACTCAGGCAGGGAGGCAGAGCGAGCTGCGGGAGCCCATCGCCCACACGGTGCATGCAGCTGTGGGTGCCACGATCTGTGGGCTTGAGAAGTCACACTTAAAGGCAGGTGCGTTCTGAAAAGAGGCGAAAAGCTAACGGTGTCCTCTGTAAGCAAACACACGGAAGCGAAAACAAGACGGACGGTATACTGTACTTTGGCAAAGAACTTGATTTCTTGCTCGTAAGGGAAGCGCTGTCCTTTGCCTCTGCTGCCGCCATCTGCAGACGGGAGAGAGTGTTCAGGAACATGGGCACGTCCAGCATTCCAATCCCCACCCGCACGCAGAGTTCCCAGCACTGAGGAATGTGCTACCCCATCGACTGGACGTGAAAAGCCAACCAGAAACACACAGGCTAACTTTGGCAGTGTAATAAGAAATAAAAAGGAATTTAAACAAACAGCCAAATTCAATTAAAAAGCGACTGAGCAGAGCCCAGCTACGTGTCTGTGAGCACAGGTACCCAGCGCAGCGCCAGGGGCTCAGGGGCCTGGAGAGAAGAATGGGAACAGAACAAGGACGACTGCCCATCTCAGCAGCAGGTCCCACAGCTGGGCTGAGAGAGTGCCTCTGAGCTGAGCGACTTCCATAAGCAAAGCAAAAACACCCAGGTCTCCCCAGGGCCCAGAAAATGATCTCGAGGTTCAGAATCGATTGACCGAAGGCATTTAGCTCAGAGGTGGCCTTTTCCTCCCTCCTTCGAGCATGCAGAGGGGGCTTCGTGCACACAGAAGAGGGAATGATACACGAAGGACCACCGTGATGTGCAGCACATGGTGCAGAGGGAGCAATTCGAAGTTGGATACGAGGTTTTAGTAAAATTCGTAGGCAGAGCCTCCATATTTTTAAGAATCAAACTAACTTGCCTGAGAAAGTTCTTTTGCAAACAGAAGTCAAAACCACCTGAGAGATACACTATCAAATCTTAGACACATTCAGGGTAGTTTTTAGAAACTTTAAACAATATTTTGTAATATCACAACAATGTTCTTCCCGTGAATAAGTAAAAGAAAACAATGGCGTTTTAAGACTTGCTAAGTTCATTTTTGCTGTCACTTTTGCATGAAATCTCTCCCACGCATGTCACGCAAATGGCTGGGTCCATGTAAGGGACTGTTGGCTGTCGGTGGCAGGACCGAGGCACCTACCAAACTCCAAGATATACTGATGGGCTTCGTCCACGTAGCGGATGAGCTGCTGGAGGAAGCTGTAGGCAAATCGCTTCTCAATCGTAGGCGCGTCCAACTCCAGGTCCTTGAACCCTCTAGAAGAGCGGAATGAAAATGGAAAGCAACATCCACAAGACTATTAGGAGGTAAATAGATAGTTAAGAAAATGTTATGTTACATATACTAATTTAGACGATTATTTAATATTCTGTAGCTAAAGGCAAAAGTGAGATTTAGTTTATAAGGACTATTTTGAATACTTTGATGTAAAACTGTAGCTAATAACTTTATTACTATGCAATAAACTCTATTACTGTGCTGCCTTTAGAAAAGCAGAGCGTCATTTCTGCCTGGATAATGGATGGGGAGTAACAAGTTCTAAGGACTCTGGCAAACAGCGACGGGCATTGATGGTTCTGATAGGTGCGTTTGAGGGCAGGAAATAGCGCTGAGGTTTAAACAGGTCGCCGACTGCATTCTTGGCCTTAATGAACCTGACAGGGATGTATAACTAGTCTTACAAGGGGACTGACTGGGACATGTGGGCTTGTACCTGGACACAGCGTAGCCGTTGATCTGCAAGAACTTGAGGATGTCCTGTGCTTTCTCCCGGTCCTTGGCTTTCTCTTTGGCGGTCAGCGTATCGTAAGGCACCAGCAGGGGGTGGTTCCCGCCTCCTAAGAGAATGTCCAGACAAGAACACAGAGTAGCAGCGGGAAGTCATCTGGAATGAGACACGCTGCCTATGTCACAGGGCCACAGCACAGAGCTCCTGTGCCCTCTCCTTGCACGAGGATAAAGGGCTCACGCGGGCTCTTCCCCCCAGCGCCAGAGTGTTCCAAGGAAGACGGCCACGGGCCTCGGGAGGCAATGACACCGTGAGCACCAGGCTTTCCTGACAGTAGTGCCCACAGCACCTGCAGCCACGGGAGGGAGAAGAGGCTGGGCTTCCTCCCAGCTGAACATCCCAATAATTTGAAGGTGTAATGGCTCATGTGCTAAAGCATCTATTTCACCCCAGCAGTGGGACTCTGCATTTCAGTGAGGATTTTTAAAAAATATTACCTTTGGACTCCAGTTCCATTTTCTTCTTCTTTGCCCATATATTATGGTAGTTTTCAGCCATCATTTCTGCCATAGCCTTAAGTGAACAAAATATTTAGCAACTCAGTTATGTTGGAATAAGTAGAAAAGGGTAACTTTGTTTTCCAATGTGTAATATGAAAACATGCTTTACATTAATAAGACAAAGTGTGTTGGTGATAAAGTACTTCCAGAAAATAACCAAACACAGCTGTCTTCCTTGGAGCCTGACTCCCAGAGGACGGGAATGATGGGGAAATGACAAACAGTGGAGGAGATTTGAAGGGAATGGTCATTGTTAGTTTTAATGTTTAAGGACACGTGTTTGATTAATTCAATCATGGAACTTCATATTAGCTATGAACTTCAACAACAAAAAAAGTATTTACCACTTTTTCTTTTAATTTCCAAATCTTCGGAAGATAACCTAAACCTTATTAAACACCAACGGCAGAGAACATCAGACAAGTAGTCTAGATTTTCATTTCAGGGCACACACATAAATTAATTGCTAAAATGTGTGGCACACCAAAAAATGTATATTTTTTGCCAATTTGACAAAAATAGGTGTAAGTTTGATTCAGTTACACTAAGACATGGAAGCATAGAATAGACCAACTGAGGAATCTCAGAGGGAAGGGAGAAGGGGGGACAGAAAGAGATTAACCAAAGAATGTATATGCACATGTGCATAGCCCATGGACACAGACAATAGTGCAGGGAAGCCCTGGGGAGGGAGTGGGAAAGGGGTCAGTGGGAGGGGAAAGGGGGTATCTGTAATACTTTCAACAATAAAGATACATAACACACACATACACACACACACACACACACACACACACACACACACAAAACAACAACCCACAAGATTTGCAGAATATTTTAAATAGTAGCCAATACTTACATGCAGGTCCCTGGACAGTGTGACATTGCTCATGTCAATGGCCCGGGGGCTGTACCCATGAGCAGCATCCACAGAAACCTAAACAATTTGTGTGAAAAGTAGTATCTCATTAAAACGCCCTGCGGAGAGAGACTTGCAAGGTACTACCGAAATATAAGGCAAACGGACTTCCAGACACACTTCCTCAGACAAAACTGGCAAGTATCTACACAAACAGATCCCACAAACATATCTAGCAAATTAAATTCTATTTGGGTGCCTGACAATTACTTGTGACTGCATACTAATCCCCGACATCTTCAGGGTTGCCAACTCCAAAAGCTAATAATCAGCATTCAATTGTGCAATGATTCTAAGATTCCAGAATGTTCCCTTAATCAAAGGATCTTTGTGTTCTTGAGTTTCTTACAAATTCTACTTGGCTGCAATGAACTTTACTCTTTCTCATATAACAATAATTAATCAAAGAGGTCAATATTTACAAATGTCTTTATGAGCTAAATGTTAAGATAAAATATAACCAGCTTTTTACTTTTAAAAGTATAACATATACAGGGTGTCCCCAAAAATGTATACATACTTTGAATAATTTTAATTCCAATGGGTTAAACCTGAAAAGCAAGAAACATCAATTGAGCTATCCGCTGTTGAAGTGTGTATACATTTTTGGGGGACATATACTAGTATTCAATGATTTACAAAGGTTTCCTATAACCAGAAAGTTTCCTTAATTTTTAAAGTTTGGCATTTATAAAATGAAACATATCTTCTTATCAACGGTAAAAAGGTTCCGCTGTCCTGTGCTCTGAGCACATTCCTCCAATGGCATATTAGGCGACAGTGTGTCATCCTCTAAATCTAAAATGATACCTTCACATATTCCACAGTATAGTTGCATTATTATATAACTATATATTAAACATACTTCATGATGTACGCATGTCTTGTTAGACATGGATAAACATGAAACAAAATGAAAGCTACAATAAAGCGCATATCTGGGCTTGTGAAACCAAACGAAGGCTGTTGCAGGCCATCACTAACAAAGGGCTCCTGGCTGCATTCAATTCTCTGCACTCCTACTGCCTCGTACTCAGTCTGTGCTCAGTATGTGTTAAAACACATGAAAACAAAATGTAGTTTGAAACGTGTGCACACACCATGAAAAGGTAAAATATGCTTTTACAGTTTCCATTTATATGATACCTACTTAAGAAAACTTTAGGTAAAATATGCCCAAATCAGAACTTAATCTATTTAAAAATGTATTTCAAATACGTGTTTCACGTGTTTTTTTTTCCAAAAACATCTCTATAAATGGCAATATAAACACAATAGTCTGTGTACCCAGATACAGTGGCCTGAGCAGCCTGGACAGGGACCATCACAGACTTAGCTTCAGGAAAACGAAAGGACCAGAGCTGAGAGTTGGTGTTTGGTCCGACCTTGAACCCAGGTTCTCCAGGTCTAGGCCATGCCTCCTGGAGCAGTGGTCGCCAACTGGTAGTCTGTGAGGTCCCAAAGGTTGGCGACCGCTGTCCTGGAGCACGTAGCTGCACATCTAGCAGCTTGCTGAGGGGACGGGGCTTCCTGGATGTGCCCATTAGTGACGAGCTCTCGGAACTCGGGCCCTGACTGCCTGGGTGCGCAGCGGACCTTTGCAAGTGGCAGGTGCTCAAGCTCCCCTGGATGGCACAGCCACGTGGGCTCGAGGTCGGGATCACTTCTGCCTGGCCTCCCGCTTCTCCCTAAGGACCAGCCTTCAGCTCTTACTGGAGAGGAGAAAGTTCTAGACAACCCACTTGCAGGTAGTGAACACACTACCACTTTCATTGGTGCAACTTCAAGACCGTACCCCTGGGGACCCCTTCATAGCCTGGCCAGGTAAGGGAGGCCTGGCTAACCCCTCTACCACTTTAACCAAGACGTCACCGAAAATTTAAAAAAGGAACAAATGTGTTTTTCCCTCTAAACTTTATGCTAATCTTCAGAATTCTCAAATCATTTGTTTTGAAACGCCCAATAAGTAAATAAAAGATTTGAATTATCTTACAACAGCATAAACCATGGCTTCCGGGCGGTGCTCTCACCTGGCTGGTCTGAGAGATGCGCCGCAGCCTGGCCAGGTAAGGGAGGCCTGGCTAACCTCTCTAGCACTTTAACCAAGACATCACCGAAAATTATAAAAAGGAACAAATGTGTTTTTCCCTCTAAACTTTACGTTAATCTTCAGAATTTTCAAATTATTTGTTTTGAAACTTTTTTTGTTTTTATTTACTTTTATAAGTAAATAAAAGATTAGAATTATCTTACAACAGCATAAACCAGGGGTCCTCAAACTTTTTAAACAGGGGGCCAGTTCACTGTCCCTCAGACCGTTGGAGGGCCGGACTATAGTTTAAGAAAAAAAAACTATGAACAAATTCCTATGCACACCGCACATATCTTATTTTGAAGTAAAAAAAGCAAAACGGGAACAAATACAATAGGTGTGGGGGGAAATTAAGAATCCAAATAAAAATAAAAATATTTAATGCTTTGCTCTGTAATAGACTGACTTCATTTAAAAAAACAAACAAAACGATTGAACCCATGGACACGACAATGGCATGCGTGGTGAGGGCCTGGGGGTGGGAGAAAAGGACGAGTGGGCTGGAAGAGGTTCATGGGGGAAAAAGGAGGACCTATGCAATACTTTCAACAACAAAGACTAAAAGAAAAAGAGTCAAGAAAGATTTAAAAAAAACCACGATTGACATGTTCATTCAAAAATAAAAAGGAAAGTAAAAATGAGAGTGTGAGCAGGCCCTGGTCTGACAAATGCTAATGGGACCCTGCTCATCTCAGCCCAGGGGCTGGTTTCCCTCCTCGACCCAGCTCCTGACACTTTAGACAGTGGTTCTCAACCTTCTGGCCCTTTAAATACAGTTCCTCATGTTGTGACCCAATCATAAAATTATTTTCGTTGCTACTTCATGACTGTAATGTTGCTACTATTATGAATCATCATGTAAATATCTGATATGCAGGATGGTCTTAGGCGACCCCTGTGAAAGGGTCGTTTGACCGCCAAAGGGGTCGCGACCCACAGGTTGAGAATCGCTGCTTTAGACGGAACTGAAAGGAGAAACACAGTCAGCAAAGCGCAGATTAGATGACAGGCGCACGAAGGCTCTCCTCCCATCGTAATCAAGAGACCTAACTGTCCTCCCTAAGCCCCTTTGTCTCCATCACCTCCTCCACCAACTCACTACCTAGAAGAGCTAGAAACACTTCCACCTCACTCTCAAGAAGCTGATTACCCAAAGAAACTAAGTACATGAGAACTTACAAATAACAACACTAAGAGATGACTCCATTATCCCTCAGCAAGACACTCTCAGGAATGATAAGAATATTTTCTAAAGTTCTTAAAAATGCACGAGAGGAATAAAAATCAAAAAGGAACAGAAAAATATTAAGTAGAGAAGAAAATAACCAATTAAACAATGACAGAAAATGGGAATGGGGGGGGGGAACAAAAGATAAAAGATACAAAAGAAGCCTTGGAATAAAAGTTAAAGATAGTATATATAAAGTAAATAAGAGATTTTAATAGGAAATTACATAACAAAAGTTTTTGAAAAAAAATTAAAACTATATAACCTAAAAAACCCTCACCTTTTCAGATAATAGTTTATATGGCTTCATTAATGGTTGAACTTTAGATGAGTCTGAATAAGTTTCTCCATAAATCCATCCATTGGCCAACTAAAAAAACAAACATCAAAATCGTTTTGCATGTATTAATTTTAGAGAGTGTATGTGTGCAGGTGTTTAAGTGTGCACATGATGAAATAAACCTAAAATGCACCAAGATAAGGATTAAGGTTTGAATTTTATCCAGCATAATTGAATATAAAATTTGCCATCCCAATCAACATTATGTTGAGGAATCCCTGGAACACCTCGACCAGGGCCAGGAACCTGCAACCAAGGTACGTGCCCTTGACCAGAATGGAACCTGGACCCTTCAGTTGGTGGGCCGGTGCTCTATCCACTGAGCCAAACCAGCCAGGGCTGAACACCAATATTCTTCTTCATAAAGTGTATCATATGTGTATTGGTGGCAGAGCTAGCTAATATTATATTAGCAAGTCATTTAAATGTTCTTTCCTAATCTAGATAAAGCTCTCCATTTAACGGAGAAAACTGTGTGGTCAGAACCAGGGGGCCTGGTGCCGCTCGAGGAGGCCTCTGACCTTACCTTGTCCATGGACCACCTGTCGTGGGAGTGCTCAGCATATTTGTTAATGAAGTATTCCAGCTTCTCAGGAATCGTAATACTGTGGGAGAAACAGAGAAAAGGCTTGGTGCTCACAGGATCGCAGGGACTCACATTAATAATTTACTCACAGCCCCTGAATGCTTAAATCCCATTCAATGCATAGCTGCTAAAAAATTTGTTCTAACAAGGTATTACTTTTCCATATGATAGGAACAATGTCATAAAAGAGAAGCAGAGAATGTTCTATATATTAATCCATACTTTATGATGAATATATTCATACTTTATGATGTCTTAGCATGAGTTAAATATAATATTTATGTATAATATTTATAAATAAAAGTAATTAAAATGTATTCAAAGATGAGGACAATAGACCATACCAAATTTTTTTTAAAAACCTGAATCAAGATATGGTTAGATGTAACAAGCTTAAAGGCACACATCTCTCCCATATTCATTTTTTTGAAGTTATTCTTTTTTGACTTAAGTCTCTTCTGCAACAACTCTACATGGGTAGAAGACTGCTGAAATCTGACCAGTGACATTATTTAAGTGTACTAAATTTTAAATCAATTTCATACAACGAGTGATGTGCTAATGACTTTAATTATTAATGGTCTATCCAACTGTTCTAATTGTTACTATTATAGAATATAGGGAAACATAACTAACACACACTTTAGGATTTTATAACATTTATTCTTGACTCCTTTTATGTTTAAATAAATATCTGATCTCTTGAACAGATGCTGAGTGCATGCAATTGATGAACTCGTGAAGATAAAGTATATCTATGAATGAAAAATTAAGTATATGTATAATGTCATTCTTTAGTGAATATGACTTATTAATGAAATTAATGTTGAAATAGAATTCTAACTACAACCTGGTGTAATGAGATGGTGACTGTTCTTTCCCAGCTGTTATCAGTCAGTGACTGAATTATGGGATACACACGTACTTTGGAAAAATATACATAAAAGTCACAGAGACAGAAATTGAGATTACTGTTTATACCTAATCTGTTTCCAAGTCCCCAAAGAGCAAGCCTAGGTAAATTAATACATATGCCCAACATTTATTAATTAACTTGATTTAATTAATCAAAACTATGACATTGTTCTGATGTTATTTTAAAACCCTGGCTTCTGCTGTATGCTAGCAAACCAGAACCTTACCAAGTAGGATGTGAACAGGTGGTTTGCTTTACTTACTTTGGAAGAAGTACAAGGGTCAGTCACATAAGCCCAATACTGGGTGGAGTCTTTTCTCACAGGACTGTCATCAAGTACCAAACACGCACATTTCAGGCGCATTGAGCTGCCCGCACACACTGGGGCCGAAGTGACCCAGGAAGGGGAGTGATCAGCTCGGGGCTGCCCAGAAGGCGGAAAGTTAAACTCCAAAGCAAGTTCACAGGGCAGGAGAGTGACTAGCGAGGGACGACCTTGTGAATACTGATCTCGCTGAGTGACCACAGACTCAATGATAATGTGGCCTGAAGAGGCAGCTCTCCTTGCAAGTGGGAAACTACATTCCTACTTAATGACAGTAACAGCAACAACACAAGTGCCGAGACGCCAAACACCCGAGGTGCCCAAACATCCTATTTGTTGAACATTTTATGCAATGAAGCCCAGGGAAGAAGTTTCACTGCGTTGAGTGACATTATGTCTGTGCTAAGATGGTCACACTGCCTTCTAACTGTAGACTAACTTTCCCACAAACGCCTTCACTTCATATTCCCATCAACCTCCTGCTGTGCTTTATCCACTGAATGTCAGTGGGACCCTCGGCCAGAGGACAGAGCTGTGCTCATGCCGGGGGTAGGGAGGCAGAGACCTACACAGAGGTTGGCTGCTATTTCAATAAAGATTTTGGGTAAATTTTCAACCAACCACGTAACGGATAGACTTTCTTGATTCTCAGCACTACAGATGCCCCAAGTGGTTATAAACAGAGGCCCCCGATTCTGTTAGGAGTGGCCTAGAAGGCACAGCTCATCTACTTCAGGTACTCAGATAATTGTTATCACTGCCACCATTTAATCAGGAAGAGGGCCCCCTCATAAAGATACTGGTTCACAGGGGAGGACGAGGGAAAGTTCACTTCAGCACCTTATCAGTTCAGACTTCACACATCATTTACAACAAAAAGCTGCCACAACAGAAAGAGTCCGTACTTTGAGGTTTCCACAGGCTGGGGGTTGAAGTTCCCCTCCGAATCCATGGATGACTGCTTCTCCATCATGCCCACATGGTTTGACTCCATGTAGTCCGGGGGCAGTGCGCCCGCCACCGCACTCAGGCACGGCAGAGCCAGTTTGAAAAGCTCTTGTTCATATTTCTAAGAGGAGATGGAGAACCAAAAGAATGAAATAAATCGTGTGTCACAATTCAGCCAAAGTTGTCCACACGATCACTGTGGAGGGCGAGGTGCTGAAGGAGAAAATGTGAATCCCCTGGGCTAACTCGGCTCACCAGCAGATTCTGCCCCAGAAAACAGGCCATTCAGCCCGAAATCCCTGCAAACACGAGAGACGCTGACAGCAACACGCTGCAGCTGCAGCCTAAGAAAACATCTTTGCTTCTCTAAATCTGTATTCCTCGATACCTGAAACGATGCAGCTTTGAATATGCTGAGTGTATAACAAAGTGGGCAACGTGTCTTTACAACCTAAACCCCGTTTCAGGCGATGAGGACTGTATTTCTCAGTTATTGTCAGTTATTGGGCCGCACATTATAGAGACCACACGTGAGGACATCTGCGGAGGGCATTTCAGTGCAAAGACATCGGGACTCTGGCCAAACTGGAGGGAAACACAGGAATCGTGCATCACTGAACTTTCTGGTATATAAATTACATGATTCATTAAATTTGTATTTACAGATTTTTAAAAAAAATCAAAAATAATCATTTAAATCAGATCTCACTTTAACCATTCAACTTTAATGTTGTTAATTCTTCTAAAAATGTCTTGTACATATTATTTTAAAAGGACTCTGTTTACCAAAGATAATTCAGCAAGAAAAATTATCAAGAAGCCACTATTAAATGAAGTCACACGAACTTTGCCCTACTAGGAGGCACACTTTGGCTATCAGGGAAGTCTCATAAAGTCTCATGAAGTACCATCAAGTCTATCGGGGAAGACAACATGATTGTGATCAATAATGTAAGCACAACTGTACCCAGCATGATGTCTACTTTTCTCTGTGACCATCCACTCTTCTCAAAGTATATGAATTATTCATTATAAATATGGGACTATGAGGGCCGTCTGAGTGGAGGGGCTTACATGCCCATAGCAGCAAGTGGACAGTCAGTAAACCACTGGAATATTACTACTCCAGGAGATTTAATATAGTATATTTTCATACTTGATATGATTTCTTCAGGTTTTATAAGATTGGGGAGGTAACTAAGGGGATTTTGAGCCCAAATAAGACCAAATACAACAGAAACGTTATCAACCATGTGCATAATTTCCTAAATTGCTTAGCCATTTTAATTTCAGAAAGAGTTATGATCGCAAAGACATGGTACCATAGCAATTATGAAAAGTCTTAATGAATTTCATTTTTAACATTTGCTATAAATTCAGGGGAAAAAAAACCTAAGTCTTGATAATTCTTATCAAGAACTTAGGGCTTTAATTATTTTATCACACAAATAAGCTCACAAAATATTAAAGTACCTTTTGAGACAGGGCATCAAAAATGCCCCAGAACAATTTTCTTGATAAATGAAGTTCTTCCTCTGAGGCAGCTCCGAAGTTCCCCCACCCGCCCGGCAGGCAGTAGTACTTCCAGCACCTTTCATAGTGGTTTGTCAGCAGCTACGGGAAACAATGATAAAGGCCATGAGCTAAAGACTCCTTTGATACTTTTCCATTTCTTCCCACATGGTGTTCTGATGCCATGTAATAAGGTAAACAGAACCAAAATGGCTTGATCCACCTGAATCCTTCTGGGTGACCTTGTCCCATGTCTGTTTCAAACATAACAGTGGTCCCAGCATAGAGATCTATGGACCAATTTTACAAATCGCTCACCTTGCACATTCTTTATGAGGCCGTTGGATTGTCTATGCATCTCTGTGTTCTACGTTAGTGCCCAGCACTTACCTCCTCACAGTTTTATGAACTGGTATCCCCTGGACTCCGTGAGCATAACAAAGGGATTGGTGTCAGGGTGACCTGAGCACTAACAGCCCCAGGACAGGGGACCTAAAATGTGCCTTTTGAGGGAACGGCACCCCTGAACATCTGTGCTT